GCTTTAAGCATGTATTTTTAAATATTGTAGAAGATGCTTTTGGTGTCTCATTTTCGTTCAAAAAACTTTTACAATATAGAAAAACATGAAAAAGACTATAAAAAAAAAACTTTTCTAAGAAATTGAGCAGACAGTAAAATTTATTTTTGTATTGTTTCTAGATTAGAAATACACTGTTGATATAGAACCCCTTTTTGTTTAAATTCAGGGTTTAAATTGCATATATGTATGCAGAATTAGTTGAAAATCTAAAAACACAAGATCAGAAGATGTTATATATATATATTTTTAGGATGTACTACCATGAACTATAAACCATAGAAGCTTGGTAAAATTCATGGGGGATAATAAAATATAATGGTTTTATGCTGATACTCTGTGGCTAACAGAGGTCATTTGATATTTATAGACATTTTCATCCAATGATAACTTTATTTTGTCTCTTTTATGAGGTATAATGCTATACTTTCTACATATTGATTTTGAACAATTTCATGACTTATTTATTATAATTATGGTATAATTGGTTGAAAATTCCTAGTATCATTCACCTTGAAAACTCTCTGTGTTACTGACAAAAAACTCTTACCACAAACGAATGGATCAAATGAACTCTGCTATTTAAAAGAAATTACTGTCCCATTTTAAACTCCCTATGTAGTCGTTGGTTTTCTGTATGCATATGGTCATTATGAGGACACCAATTTTAATAAGTTTATATAACTTAAAAAATGAAAAATGAAAACAACCAAAAGATTGTTACAAAATTGTCTTAGTGGTAAATTTCCAAAATGATATAATAGAATTAATGGGAAAGTATTATACTAAATATAAACACACTTATAAAACATACATTTACTATATATTCTTTAAAATAAAAATAATGGAATTTATATGTGGGACTTGCCTTGCCCAGCAACTTTTGGTTAATCAACCTATTTTTAGACATTACTGAATCTGAGCCTGTTTAGTACGGTACATGAAAATAAGAACTTAGTTCCAGGATTTTAAACATGATGTCCTTTTTGTTATTTCTTCATTTATATGAAGGAGATACATAAAATGTGGAAGATCAATACACCAGAAATAAAGTTCTTTTATCAGATTTTATTTTACTTGCTTTTATTATTGTCAGATCTCATTATTAAACAGGATCAGAGTATTCTTGTTTCTGTCTCTAAGGAGATATGTCCCTTCTGAAAACTGTTCTTATCGAACCATTGTCATAACAAGATTTAGCTGTGTTTTATGATTTTAAACTGTTTTTATATTGTTTTTACATGCTTTTACCCGTGACAGCCAAATCTTGTTATCACATAGATTTTCAGTGTTAAAAAGAATGTACTATTATAATTAAAACTTATAAGGAATAATTAACATGGAGAAAGAAATTTCCTTGAAATAATCGGATCTGACTTTTTTTATATCATTTACTGGAATAATTTTAACGGGATTGTGTGGGGCCCTAACAATTATTAAATAAAGATTACAACTGCTGAAAAGATGTATTTTGTAAAAGGAACAGATCCAGGAATTTTAAGTTTTAGAGGTATGAGATTAAAATCATTTGCTGAGCACAATGGATGGAAGAAGACATTTTACATTTTGTTTTATTTTAGTGAGGTACTTGCCTGTCATGACACTTTATAAAATGCACCCTAGACCATATATTAATATTAAATGAACCTTTGTTCACACAAAAGATTTAAATAATCATTTATGAAAAATGGCAAAGTGCTCGATCAATAAATATTTCATAATTTGGAAAGAGGATTTTTCAGCTACTCAGAGAAAATATTGTGATTTGCTCCCTTTTTATTTTCTCCAACTAGGAAAGTCATATAATTGTAGAAAGTGGTGTTTTTGAAGAAGTTCAATAAAAGCGCTTTTTCTCATATGGGTGTAGTGATTTTGTGTCATGAATTGACACAACATATCAGGATCCTTTCTTTTCTATAAACAAAATATTTTACATTTTCAATTTATCAATTTGGATATGGATAGTAGTTTAATTTTAGTGATTTGATTTGATTTTTGGTGTTTAACGCCACTTTTAAGCACCGCTTTAGGGCTATTTCGTGGCGGCCAGTTTTTATTGGTGGAGGAAGCCGGAGTGCCTGGAGAATTAATTTTAGTGTAAACACACCTTTTTGTATCAGTTTGATTTTCAAACACTTTAAAATATCTATATGCTTAAAATTTGTATGTTTCCAAACACACTTTTTAGTATTTTTATGATATTTAGATGAGAGGTTTATGGTACCTTAGAAAAAGCATATAGTTAAAATATAAAAATAAATAAAAAAAATAAACTACTGTAAATTCAGAAATTATTGTGAGGTTTTAATTAATGTGAAAAGTGCGACTGGGTTAGTATCACAATAATAAGAACTCACATTCTGATATCTGATATATGCATCTGTATGCAGAATTTCCTGAAATCGCAATAATTATTCTCGCATTATTGTCCATTCTTCATAAATCGCAATAATAAATGCACGCAATAATTTCTGAATTTACAGTAGTTTTTTTTCAAAAAATAAACAATTTCACAAGTTAAACAAACATGATCTTAGTAATAAAAAAATTTTTTTGGGTTTATAACAAAACAGGGAAAATATGAACTGCCAGTCCTATTTTATGATGCTACAGTTCTTGAACATTTTAATATTTTGTCTATTTTATGCTTTGCCATGATAAAAAATGCAATTATGGGCAAAATGTTTATTTTTTCTACAAAGATTTACAACAGAATATGAATTAGCAAATTACAATTAAAGTTGGAAGGGGGAAAGGTGGTTTATAGAGGCAATCTCAAACATCTTATCAATATAAAATTACCAGGTTTATCCAAATTGGGAAACACCAAGGGTTGATATGGGTATAGAAATATTGTCATCTGAACTCTCCAATCTAGCAGTAAAACTTATTTTAAGTGGCCATCTAGCTGTTTTTGTTGTGAGGAATATATTATATATACAGCCACGTTCAGTCTTAATGGGGACTCTAAATCACATACCTTGTGTAGGGAGAGTGATCTCTGCACATTAAAGAACCCTTGCAACAACTCTCTGAGGGGTTTATAGGTTGCCTGTTGCAAGGCAAAATTTCTGCCCCTTTTTTCTATGGTAGTTTTATACCTTTCATCCTGGTTTACCAATTTTGCAAAACCTACCTACTGGAGTTGTCCTGAATATGCATGAAATAATTGCAACTGGACAAATGGCTGCAATGAGATGGAATATTATGAAAGAAGGTTATCGATGACCAGAGCAAAGGTCTGCTGGAAGAAGATAAACTTGCCATTGATGATGGCAGACTAATTTCAACCAGAAAGATGGTCATTTCAGATGTATCAAGAAATCCAGGCTTTTCCATGTTTATTTTGTGGTATGCCATTTTGTTTATATAATTTTGCTTGCATAAGTTGTAATATTGGGAAAATGTAATTTAAACAGCAACCTAACAGAAGATATGGTAAACTAGTGAACATTAAAGGGGCATTAGCTGTCAAATTCATGTTCACTGATTTGACTCAAATTCTCATATTTGATCTATAACATACTAAGATGTATACCCAAATTACAACTAGATTTGCAATTACAAGCAATAGCGGATGTCACCCTCGTCCCCCAGTTGCCACTGTTACGGCTGCCATTTTGAAAATTCCAAATTGAAACCGCGCATCTACACGTGCCAATTAACATTTTTGTAAATTTTCATTAAGTTTGGAGCATTTTTCAATTTTGGACATTTTTGCAGTTTCCATGGTAACGGTGGCAATTTTGAAAATTCCAGTAACCACTTCTGTTAAGTTTCATTTAGTTTAGAACACTGATTTTTTTCACACTTTTAGTATAGTTTCATCAATATAAGTCCATTAAATTCCGAAAACTAGCACGGACAAAAATGTGTTGAAGAAAAAAAAGAAACTTAGAATAACAATACGTCACCCCAAATCCGTTGAGGGTGCCATCATAAGTCTGAAATAAACACTGCATGGACTCCATAATATATATATCAGCATTTTGTGTGTATTTTAGTCTTAACCATCAAGATGACCTCTGAAGACTGCTGACGGTCACATAACCCGATATAAACAAACATAAAAATAGATAGATAGCGACCACGTACAATTAGACTTTTCTAGGTCTATTTGATTTAATGTTATAGGTTTTAAAAAAAAGTTTATCATCGTTTTTACCTGTATAAGAATGATTTTTTGTGGATCGAATTTGTGGAACGAAATGGTTCACCTTTGTTTCACTTTCAGTGTTGACATTCTTTTCCTTTTAATGGCTAAACACGCCTAATACATGCGTAACCAATCTCTAGCTAAGGGTTAAATTGAAGGTCTCATGAATATGGATTTGATGAGGTCGAATTTTTCACTTGCAAGTGAATAATTCTTTACTGATGTTTCTTAGCTTATTTTGACAAAATTGAACTAAATTGGCTGATAAAGGCGATTCATTATTTTACTATTTCACTTCCATTAATGATTGAAAAAAAAACCATTTTAATTTTTTTTATATCTCATAGCTAATGCCCCTTTAAGAGGTAAAATTATATTTGATTATTCACAGGAATGCATTTCAAACTGATAAGTTAATAAGCAGAAAAAAACGAAGTAATATTCTTTTAAACACTTTGAAAATTGAAATTGCTTATATTTATTCAACATTTTGTAGATTTTCTATTAATGGATTAAAAAAATTATAAAATGCCAATGGGGAAGTATATTTCATTGACAAAAGTTATTTCATCCCATTTTAGATGCTGACTTCACACTAGTTTAATTCAGTGTTGCTGCAGGACTTGGAAGTTTGGTGCTATTTTATCTCAGGTTTGTTACAAAAAGAATTATAGTAAAGAGAGCAACGATTTTGTTGCTCTGTTAAATTGATATATCTTTATTAAAGGGGCAGTAACATAAAATTTTGTAAAAACTAACATTATTTTCAGTCAATTTCTGTAACGTAAAAAGAATGTTTTCAAAGGTTATATCCTGTTTTATCTCGGGTTTGTTAAAAAATATTTAATGTAAAGAATTAAAGCAATGATTTTGTTTTGTTGCTCTGTCAATTGCAAGTTTACTTATATCTTTAAGGGGAAGTAACTAGTGAACATAACATTTTGCAAAAACTGACATGATTTTTAGTAAAAATTCTGTAACATAAAAAAAATTATTACTATTAAGGATGTTGATAATATTTCAAACTGGAGCACATTCAAATTTAAATCCATCAAAGAATTGAAAATCAAATTTTAATTCACCATTCAGGGTGAATTTATCTTTTGCAGAAAAAGTATTTTGATGTTGAAGATCATTTACATATTGATAGTTAATATTTTAAAATGTATATATGTACTACTTTTTATTTTCAGTGTAGAACAGAAATTGAGATAAATTGCTTTCAAAAATTCTGTAGACTTTAGAATGAAAAACATTTCATCAACAAAACAGTAAGTAGCATATTTTAAATTCATTCAGGAATATTTTTCACCTTTGATGCATCCATTCAATTTTTGTATTAAAGACTCTCTTTTTTGTGAAATATGGGGGAAATACAAAAGAGAAAAATCCAATCAGGATGATAGATGTGATTTATTCTGGGGAAATTGTTCTTGTTTCAAAAATTATCTTTACAACACTAGTGGGCAAAGAATGCTGATTTTAAGAGCAGCTGCTCAAAGGGATTTACTTTACAAAATATCTATAAAAAAAATGCAAAATCCAGAATAGAAATGAGTAATATTTTGTACTGCTTTCAAATTGTTTCACACAGAAATTGAAGAATAAATAAGTATCTCATGACAGTAAAAAAAGATGCATGTATTTTTCAGCTTCATTCATGCATTGCTGGTATTCACAAAGTGCCATGATTCAAGATGAAGACTTTATGGGAAGACATTATCTGATGTTTAGGTAAGTTAGCATTACTATTATAACACTATACACAAATACATTGATATGAGATTGGTTGTATCCTTGTACAAAATTCACTTGTTAAAGAATTCAGTTGACAGTTATTTCCCTTTTTTTTTCGAAAAGTAGATATTACTATAGGTATTTTATATCCTCAAAACTAGTTGACACATAACAGTATTGAATTATTTTGTATAATCCACTGCATTATTTTTAAAACTAGAAAGTTATTTCTAACTAAAAATAACCACTAGGATTTTTCTTAATTTATTATCCTTCCAAGAAGGGGACAACTATTGCAAATGGAATTACATATGGGTGACAACAAAAGATCATCAGCACTCTTAAATATGACTTATTGCTTAAGGAATGTTTTTTTTTCATTTATAATTCATCATTTTGAAATTATTATATAAAAATGTGTGCATCACACAATCATACTGAGGAAAAGGGGGAAATGCATTGAATGCATTGCTGAAAATTATTATTTCAAGGGAGACAATTTTAGTGATTTTTTTTTCTTCATGAATAATTAATAAATACAATATTATACCATCATCAAATCAGATTGGCAAATAGGGATGAAATGACATCCTGATCTTACTGTATGGTTCATTTTTTTATGCAAAAACCACAGAATGGTAAAGTTTTACCATTTGAAACATTTTTGTATTCTTAAAACCAAATATTCACCACCTGGCATAATGCATTGTAAATGGAAATTCAATGTTGGACACCAAATGGTATAAAAATCAAGAACCTTTCTGCACTTAGCAGCAAAACCTAATTTAAACTGTCAATGATTAACCCAATTATGAAGAGCAAATATTGTAATACAGAAAACTGTTTCTTCTTTTTATATTTAAGAATCTTGTGGTCAAGTTTTCCATTCCATTTGTAGGTAATGTTTGATGCTTCCAATTCTGGATATTTTGGAAAAAAAGGTGAAAATGAAGGGAGGATTTCAACACACAGAAAATAATCTTTAAAAGAGAGAGACTCAGTTACAAAATATGACTCCGGAATTAATTTGCTGTGACAGAATATGGACTAAAACACTAATGGACTCAGGAACAAGCTGTACAATGGGAAGAGACTTAAACAAAACAACAGACTCTGGAATATTTTGTGCAAAACAAGAGACTTAAAAAAAAAACAAAAAAATAGACTCAGGAATATGATTTCTACAACAAGAAACAAAAGTATAAAATATAAGTGATGAAATAAAAACTTTGTTTAGCATGAACTTTTTTATTTATTAGTTATAAATTTGAGGAGAGAGTCAAATATAATTTTCAAAAATGAAATGTGTGAAAGGGATAACTCGGTTTTTTGAAGATTTTTTTTTTCATTTTAAAGCTCACTGCTTATCTACAATGTTTGATTATAATGTAGTTTTTTTTCATCAAAATTTAGATTTTGAAAGTCATCATGTTTAAATTTGAGAGAGTTAGAATATTCATTTGTAAAGATTTATCCTGTTTCAACCATGAAGCACATAATATTACCATTTTTTTTAACGAGCGGTTGGACAATGGCTAGACTGTCACTGCTAGTTTTTTATTTTGCATTTATGGTTTAAACAAGATCAATCTAAGAGGAAGGAAAAATGCAGTGTATGAAAGAGAGAAAGAGGGACTATGTTAAGGTATATTCTTTTTCAGCAAAACAGCAGGTTCTCTGTACAATTTCTTGTATTGAAATAATCAAGCACCTGCCAATTTGTTTAAATTGGATAAATCTTGGATGTGTAACATTGTGTATTGAAAACTGTATTTTTAAAAATGCTTTTCAGACACACTTAAAATATTACATATTAAAAAATTTAGATAATAAATTTTCATTTTATATCTAAATTATCACAATCATGCTATATATTAAGTGTATCATTTTTTTTATATACTTTTTTTAAGTTTTCAACATGGGAAGTGTTATCTAAGTATGATGAATGAGGAGCTAATAGGTTTTAGGGGAGGGAATATACACCTATTTACCTCTTAATACTGGTTGCTTCCTTTGATGAAAGTTAATTTATTATACTTTAATAATTATGTGTAATTTTTTTAAGGGTTCATCAGATGTTAACAAAATTTGCCATTTTGTAGAGCTTAGTAAAGACAAAATGTAAAAAAAGCAACAACAAAAAAACAAAAAAAAATATAAAAAAAGAAGAAAAAACTGTAAACTAAGTTCCAGAAAATGGCAGTATGGGTTGTTCTGAAATTTATAAGTTGTATTGGATCCAAAAGTATTCTTACAACTTAAATACATCTGATGTGTGTGTGTGTGAGGGAGAGAAAGATCATAGTTTGTGAAGGTTTATTTTCTTTCAGCCATACAGCAGGTGCTTCTTACAACTTTTAGTAGATTGGTCTCAAATAAGTTGCCAAAACCTGCCAGTTGGTTTAGATACAATAAATCTAGAAGTGGAAGATAGTATTTTGAGATGCTACTTTTTCTTTGATTTTTTTTTTGTGTGCCTTGAATCTATGAACAAAGAATATACACTTCAATATGACATGGATCAAAATATAATAAATCAGCTCTCATTTTTTTAAACATCACAGTCATGTTCTATTCTATGTGTATTGTATCATTTGTTAAACCTTTCAACACAGAAAGCAAAATCCAGGTGTGATGAATGAGGAGCTAATAGGGTGAAGTTTAAGGCAAGGGGAGGGAATACACCTATTTACCTCCTTATTTTGGTCCCTTCCTTTGGTGAAAGGTAATTAATTAGACATTAATGGGAGCACCTCAGATGTAATCAAAATTTGCCATTTTGTAGAGCTTAGTTAAAAAAAAAAAAAAAATGTAAATAAAAAAAGAAAATAAAAAAAAAAATGAGAAACTGTAAACTAAGTTCTAGGAAATAGCAGTATGGGTTGGTTTGAAATTTAATGATATCTTTTGGATATAAAATTCTTCTTTTTGCATTTTAAATTCATCTGATTTGCATATGTGATAGAGAGAGAGAACAAGACTTTGTGAAGGTTTATTCTGTTTTAATCTAACAGCAGGTGCTTCTTTCATCTTACTGTAGTCATCTCTTAAAAGCAATATTCATTAAAATTATTAAATTCTAGAAGAGGGTAAAGTTATTTCATTATTTGGATTAGATTAATTTTGTTATATTATAGACATATTTCATAATTAGTTTTTAGATGAAGGTGGAGAACATGATATTTTATTAAAACATTTAAGTGTTTTTTTTAAATTAAAACTTATTTGATAATAGTTTTACAATATTAACAATGGAATGAAAAACAGCTATTATCTCCCTTTATCAAGACTTTCTTTTTACTATAAAAGAACACATGTATAAGAAAACAAAAATGTTTAATAATTTCTGAATTTGCAGCAATTGTACTCTTCACAGCATTTTTTACTCATAATTATTTTTTTAACACTATAACTCGTGTTCTTTGCTTCATTATTTTTGTTTACACATGGAAAATGTACCACTTTGTTTTTTTTGTCTTTGCATGCCAAGATGTTTTTTTTTAAGAATAATGTACTCTTTTTGTATTACAAAGTTGCAATCAAACTATTCATCTTGATTACCAGCTAGAGACCATTTGTTATATATATATATATATATATATATATATATATATATATATATATATTAAAAATTAAATACACAAAAAGAGTTTTAAAAGCAGCATCTCTAATGTGTTCCCCATAACGACGTTCATAACGACGTTCATAGTCTTGAAAAGTCCCAAGATGGATGAAAGCGCTAGACAATGCTGCTTTTAAAACTCTTTTTGTGTATTTAATTTTTAATATATAATTCTGTACACCGCTTGAAAAGAAACTTTTTTTTGTATATATATATATATATATATGTATATATTGCCAGTAATAGAATTTACTTAAGAGAAATGCAGTCTAGCTGCTATGTTGATATGGAATACATGAAGGCTTTTTGTGTATGGTTATTGAAATAATAATATTCAATAATAAAAATTTATATTGAAAATAAGCAATGATGGCTTGTTGTCCTATTATAACCCTACTCTAAGAGTTGGGGCTATATTGCATTCATCTTGTATGTCCCTCTGCCTGCAAGTTTGTCCAACAAATATTTCTGTCACATTTTTCTCATGTATTGCTGAACAGAATAGCTATCATTTTGGTCAACAGCTCGACAGTGATGAGTGGAAACATGTGAGGACTTTTCAGATCTGTCAGACACCTCCTTTCTGTTTGCTGCATGATACTTTGAATTTAAATAACTGGTGATAATATCATTTTAACAGGACGTGATCAATGATGTTTGGTACTCATTTAAATCATAATACCAGTTAATATTATTGAAAATTATTTGGTGTTCAACCAATCATCCTCTTTCTTTATTTATTTTCTTTCTTTATTCATGGTCCATTGAAACGCTTTTTTTCCTAGTTGACATGTTTCTTGATGGGTAAAATTATCAGGACCAACTCCAACTGAAGATGAGTGTCCTTTGTTGAATATGCACATAGACCAAGGTGAGCGACCTTTTGAACACCTGTAAACTTCTGTTGCCAAAATTAGTCATATAGCCCATCACATAATGAGGTATTTATAAATACTTGGCTCTTTCATTTCTTTGGTTTGAGCATTTCTGACGAAGGTTAATCAAGAAAGGCATTAATGGGACACACCAAATAAAGGTGTTATTATCATACTATTACAATTTTTGCCTATAATTTTGGAAATTCAATTAAAAGTAATCAAAGCATCATTTAAATGCTGTGATTCTGCCATTTGTTTAGCTACAGCCGGTAGACCTACATTTTTTCTGATCTAATGTTTTATAAAAAAAATGTATACAAGCTCTTGTACAACATTTAGAGACGTTACCATCACAACTTTGAACAAATGATTTTGCCTCAAAATGTTTATTTGTGTTTAAACAAAGAAACTTCTGGCAATCTAATATCATATTTAGTAAAAATAAACAGAAAACACTAGGATTGAATGTAGAATATTATCATTTTCATTATTATTTCACTAAAAAATAACCAGTGTTATTTTTGTTTTTAAAATCACCACTTTCAGTTCATTAAATTCTTGCTAAAAATGTACTTCTTCTAAGGTACTTCTAAAAATCAAAGTGATCGAAATCATTGACGAAAAGACTGAAAGAGTTGAGCGCATACATTGTAATTTCAAGTCAAATTCTCGGATATTTTAGTGAACAAAAAAATCCCTGATACATCACTCAGAAAGATAATTAGGTTTTTTTTCAGCTGATAAAACAAGCTGGTCTCCTTAAATTTACTAGTAATTAGTTGCAATTTCAAACTCATCTTAGGATTATTTATTGATTTTTGATAAAAATTATATGACATTGAAGATGAGTTTTATAAATATCATTTCATTAATTTTACTCAAAAAATTGAGTTCAATTGCTCAAAGATGGAGAATTTCTCAATTTTGATATTTCAATTTTTAGAAGGGGGACTGATTTCTAATATCTTTTTTTTTCAAGTTAAAAAAATAATTTTGGCATGATTGGAAATAGAAATCTTCAAAGGAAGGCAGAGGTGTAGTACCGGTATATTTTTTTATTGAAGTTTGACTAGATAATTTCAGAAAAGAGGCATTCAAAATACACTTTTTCAACAACAAAAATCAAATAACTTATTTTTATTGAAATTGGTGTTCATTCTTCATTGAGAAAAAAATAATGCCCTGTATTCAAATATACATGTACAATTCCTTACACTGTTAAATAGCAATATAATCATGATAATAGGGAATAAAAAACAAAAAATAATTGCAGAAATCCCAAGGTTAGAGTCATGCAATTTTGTTTATTGTTTCAAGCTAATTAATGGTAATTGTAACCTAAATTAACCTAAATTATTGACTAATATCAAATGATTATAACACACCCTGCTTGTATTTTTTTTTGTCTTTTCTTTGCAAAAACATGTATCTTTTTTATCCTTAATCAATCATCTCTGAGAAATAATCTACAGAATAATTTCATATGTGTAGATCAAAAGTGATTATAGGTCTACTTTTGAGGTCAATATTATTGTGTATTCAATTATGTTATACAAGATATATTAACTGTGGTCAATTAAGATTGGCATTAAAGTGGAGGTGATTCCAATTTATACTCCCAACTTTGAGTGAAATTATTTGTAAATAATGAAAGTTGTTTATCACACTGTATTGGATCAGTACTCTTATTTGCCTATGAAAAGAATTGGAACAATAGCATTTCAAAAAAGTGTGGGAATCAACTTTGATATCAATACACACCTTGTACCAAATTTTATTCAATTACTTACACAAGCATAAGATACTGATAAAATACTTTCATAATTCTCATCAATTGCTTATATTTAATTTGATTTATCCCTTTTCCACATTAATTAATAGTAATTAATTATAAATTTTGATTAACAAAGAAACTATATGCAAGCCCTTATGGAAAAATAAGGCTTCTTGCAAATATTTGCGGCAATGTTGCTGCAAATATTTGCGGCAATATTGCTGCAAATATTCATTTTTCGTATGCAAATTAGTTTTCTTGCAAACAGTTGCTGCAATATTGCCGCAACAATTTGCGGCAATATTGCAGCAAATGTTTGCAGGAAAATCAGTAGCTATGATTGTTGCAGCAATATTGCGGCAAATTCATTAGCTGCAATGTTGCAGCAATATTGCAAGAAAATTAATTTCTTGCAATACTGCAGCAACATTGCAGCAAATCTTTCAACAATTTCAGTTGAAAAATTAGGAATTAAAAACTAAGCATTTAAAAAAGTATGATTTAATAATAAAACAAAATTTTCTCTGTCCTCTATAGGTTGTTGTGTTACATATCTGTGTATCCTTTAGTTCTGTTTCTCTGTACTCACTGTCCTTAAAGTTGAATTTTCTGATTTCAAATACTGCAAAATAAAAGTTGAAGAATTTAGCATACATTAAAAGAATAACTAAACATTATAAAGATATAAAGATATAAGTTACTACTATATATTGTAAATTCTGGACTTGTAAAATGAAAATAACTCTTTATAAAGAGATGATTACAGACCAATTTTTCCAGCATTTGTTTCACTTAAAGGGTCAATGTCTAAAAGTGATCAAATCCTTCTAGAAATTGCATATTACTATAGAATACATTCAACCTTATGCCAGTACTAGGTTGTTATTACTTTTTTGAATATTTGTTTTTCATTGAACTATAACATAATTGGTTTTGTCTATTCTTTAAAATTTTTGTGATTAGTTGTGTATATATAAAAGCTAAATATTGTTGTCATTTGTTGATAGACCTCTTATTGGCAGTCAAATCACAGATCTCTAATTTAATACCAAACTGCTTTTATTAGAAGATTTCTTGTTTCAATTTAAGTAATGTACTTTCTAAAACATATAGTTTTAAAAAGATTTAAAAAAATATCTCCTGTCTTACACAATTTTAATAATATTCATGTGCATAAATCTATTGTCTTATACTTTTGTCAACTCTATTAAGTTAAGAAAACTCTTTAAATATCACTATTTTGAACTGTAAGAGCAAGCACGTATTCAAAATGGTGGACATTCAACTCCATTGTACTTACCAAAAGATGTTATCCAAATTATGTGTAAACACCAATCTTCCTAAATCCAAGAGTCATGTCAACTGAAGGCTATCATATGCACTATCCAGTGTCAATAGAATTAATTGGAACTTTTGGATCTAAATCCATTGTAAAATTCATATTACTTTGTTCATGATAGAAGACATCTTTGTTTGTTGTATGCATGTTCATGTCCAGTTCAAATTTTGAATATGTTGATCAAGGTTGCTTAGGGTATTGTGACAGTGTGATCCCTTTGAAATTTGCCCCTAATTATAAATATCGATTGCCTAAATCTTGAATATTTGTTATATATTATAATAAAAAAATAATTATACATATATTTTTTTTTTATCTTTGATGTTATAAGTTATAATGGAAATATATACAAAGAAGAAATGCTTTACCCTTAATTTGGCCTCAAACTCTGTGTACATTAATTTATGGTACTTCCTGTCTTTACCACTACACAGAGATGAATGGAAACCAGATGGCACATTACATTTCTATCACCAGCTCATATTACTAATTGAGATGAGAAAGATAATTTGTGTATACATAGTTTTAAAATAATGATACTAGAAAGTAAACAAAATGCAACCTGCAGGTGAGGCTAAATTCATTTGATGGAAAATATTAGAATTAAAAATATTGTTCATAGAAAAATGTCACAAAAAAGTGACAAAAAGGCATAATAATACATGTAGAACAAAAATTATTATGACTCAATTATTTAGATTAAACTTGTTGAAATAAATACCAAAGTATATTTGAAATTCTTTCCTTACAAAATATCATATAAATGTGATGTACAGTTTAGGAATTCTAAAAAATATAAGCAAACAAATTTTGTTGCAGTAACATTGCGAGAATGTTGCAGGTAGCTGCAACAACCTGCAATTTTCTTGCAAACACTTCTTGCAAACAAATTTGTTTGCTGCAATATTGCCGCTATATTGTTGCAATATTGCAGCAAACTTTTCATTTCTGTAAGGGAGTGTATATCTTAAATAAAGTAGCTGTTCGGCCAATCTTTTCTTAATTTAAAGGCAAATAACATGTCAAAAGTTGGCAATAGATGATTAAAATAGTGTTTAAAGTTTCTGCAAGTCATAACAAGAGTGCACACGCTGAAATGTCTCGCCTGCTTTACTGATCATTGATTTTATGTTGATAGTCAAAATATAAAGCTTTACTACAAGTATCACATAAACTTAACATTATGCAAGAAAATGAGGTCAAGGTCAGATAAACCTAACTGGAAATACATGTACACCTTACAATCTTTCCATACACAAAATATAGTTGACCTATTGCTTATAGTTTCTAAGAAACAAACTTAACCAGGAAAACTTAACATTGACCAATGAACCATGAAAATGAGGTCAAGGTCAGATGATACCTGCCAAACAGACATATGGTCATACAATCATTCATGCACCAAATATACTGGGTAGTTGACTAATTGCTTAAAGTTTAAGAAAAAATAGACCAAAACACAAAAACTTAACACTAAGCAATGAACCTTGAAAATGAAGTCAAGGTCAAATAAAACCTGCCAGACTGACATGTACATTGTAAAATATTTCCATACACCAAATATAGTTGACCTATTGCATATAGTATTAGAATAAAAGACCAAAACACAAAAACTTAACTTTAACCACTGAACAATGAAAATGAGGTCAAGGTCAGATGACACCTGCCAGTTAGACATGTACACCTTACAATCATTCCATACACCAAATATAGTAGACCTATTGCTTATAGTATCTGAGATATGGACTTGACCACGAAAACTTAACCTTGTTCACTGATCCATGAAATGAGGTCGAGGTCATATGAAACCTGTCTGAAAGGCATGAGAACCTTGCAAGGTACCCACATACTAAATATAATTATATTACTCATAAGAGAGAAATTAACATTACAAAAAATCTTAACTTTTTTTTTTAGTAGTCACTTAACCATGAAAATGAGGTCAAGGACAATGGACTATGACAGACGGACACTTCATAACATAAGGCATCTATATACAAAGTATGAAGCATCCAGGTCTTCCACCTTCTCAAATATAAAGCTTTTAAGTAGTTAGTTAACGACGCTGCCGCCGGATTGACAAAAACACAATAATTAGTTTCATGATATGTCTTCAACCTAGAACTCTGCACCATCTCCAAATCCCGAGTGAACACATAGATCCAGCATGTCTGAATCAACAAACCAGTTCCAAACCATTTAAGCTTGCTTCCAGACTGCCAGACTGCCATTAACAACAGTGGCATCAATCGATTTCTAAAGAAATAACTGTTTTTTTGCTATTTCTATTGTTATTGTTCACTAATAATTTTGGTATTGATGGCATATCATCAATAGCTACTGTTTATTAATTTTTAGCTTGTATATTCTGGGGACTGATTTTGAGATAAATATTAGCTTCCATTTTAGAGTGCATGTTGATCTCTAGGAGTCATTTTTTTTCCCCATCTTTTTTCTTTTATTTGCTGCCTCATTCATGTCTAACCTTTCACCTTAGCCATACATTCTGTATGTGCCTGTCCCAAGTCAGGAGCCTGTAATTTAGTGATTGTCATTTGTTTCTGAGTAACATAAATTAGGCCGTTAGTTTTCTCATTTAAATTGTTTTACATAAATTTTTCATTTCTGGGCCTTTTTATCACTGACTATGCAGTGTAAGTTTTACTAATTGTTGAAGCTGTACATTGACCTATAGTTGTTAATTTCTGTGTCATTTGGTCTTTTGTGGAGAGTTGTCTCATTGGCAATCATACCACATCTTCTTATTTTTATTTATCGCACCTCAAGTAAATAGTCACATTGTGATTGGTTTAACGCTGTCACGTGGTGACCCCCTATGGGCCCTTAGGGGGTCAGTAGATTTCATAGGGGGTGTCATGGCGGCGATAGGAGATGACTGATGTGCCGCTTGGAATTTTCAGAACGGTATTTTAAACGCAATACCTTATGGATTCAAGTAATTATTTGGGAGTTGTCCCCCGTTGATCAGTATACAATATCAGTACTTTAATTGAAGTTATCTCCCGTTTCAAACAACATGTGACGTCATATTTTCGTCTGCAACAAAATGGAGAGATTCGGGACGTCAACACGTCTGGACATTGACGATAAAAGACGGAACATTCACTCCGAAAAGACACAAAAAAGTAACACCCTATCTGCAAAATTGTTCAGGGAATATCTTACTAGTAAAAATCATGAAGCTGACTTTGAAAGCTTTACAACACAACGTTTGGATGAAGCGTTATCTCATTTTTACCTTGCTGCTAGAAAAACAGATGGTTCCATGTATAAAACTTCTTCCCTGGAATCGATTCGACATGGCTTGAATCGCCACCTTAAAGCACCTCCAAACAATAAGGACTTTGACATTATTAAAGATGCAGCATTTCGATATGCAATCATGAGCTTTGACGCTGCAAGGGCCGAACTGAAACAAGCAGGAAAAGGAAACGTTGAACACTATCCAATTATCCAGGAATCTGACAGGGAGAAGCTGTACAAGTCAGTCTACTTTTCTACACAAACCCCCACAGGACTATTTAACAAAGTCCAGTATGATATAAGACTGTATTTTTGCCGACGAGGTGCAGAAAATATGCATACAATGACCAAGTCAACTTTTGCTTTGAAAACAGACCCAAATACAGGAATGAGATACATCGAAAAGATTTTAGATGAATTAACCAAAAACCATAGAGGAAATGATAAGGAGACAACAAGTGGAGTCATGCCAGAAGCTACAGGTACATTAGTTTATATATTTGATAATCATCAGGCTTGGTTAGTAATATATCATTAATTACACCCCCCTCCTCCCAAAAAAAAATAATAAAAAACAACAACCCCAAAATATTGGGTAATTTAAAGTTAAAGAGTCCCACCCCGAAACAAACACACAATGAAAATGTAACCTGATTATCCACAGACCATCTAATATCTTATTTGACGTGTCGTGAAGTGCAAAAGCATGGAATGGTTTGTATTTTTGCTTTTCAATCATCAATGACTGCAGCACAAAAAAAAAGAAATGTCAACATTTTCTACATATTTGTATACTTTAAGATGTTTTTTTTTTTTTTACTATAACTATATCATATAGAATTTTGTATTCCAGGCTCAATGTATTGTCCAGTGGAATCCTTTATAAAGTATACAGACAAGCTGCACCCTGATTGTGATAGGTAAGTGAATTTAACAATAAATAAAAGCTACAATCGTCAAACAACTTTAAACACAATCATAAGACCAAAAACCCCAAAAAACATGAAAAAACATGGGTAAATAAAAAAAAAAAAAAAACACAGCTGAAAAAATTCACCAAAAGTATATTAAAGAAGGTATGTGTCATAATTGTTCAAAATATCGAGAAAAGCCAGATTTTTTTAAAGTTAATTCTTCATTTTATTCTTCATTTAAAAAAAATTTCAGATTGTGGCAGCGTCCAAGGGACTGCTTTGTTGATGACGACAACGAAATATGGTATTTACTTGAGTTTGTCATGTAAACTTAGCCAGAAATATACAAATCATTCCATAAGAGCAACGGGAGCTTCAATTTTGTCAAAAAATAAGTTTAATGATGCTCAGAAAATGTCTGTTACCGGTCACAAATCCGTACAATCTCTATCCGTTTATCAACGGGTAGACACGCAAGAAAAGTTACAAATGGGACAAACTCTGGGAGTAACTATGGGAGCTGTGCCAGCCCAGATAGAGGCTTTACCAGCACCTCCTATTAGACCAGCACTACCAGCACCTCCTGTAAGACCAGCACTTACTGAAAATGGATCTATGGCACCTGTTCTTATTGAAGCAAACACTCCGCAGAATTTGCATTCCGATTTTGAAGGATTCGATTTGAACGCTATATTAGGGGACTTTGATTATAATGAATCATCCATTACTGTTAGCAACACAAGACAAGCTGCCGGTCCACAATTATTTCACAAATGTAAAGTGACAATCATTCAAAATCTAACATTGAACAAATGACATTCATTCCGAATTGTATTTTCAAAAAAGAAAATGCTCTAAATACTTGTTAGTAGTTGTGTTAATAAATTCCTTTTGTTATTGTTATTATTTTTCATTGTTAAATTTTGATTTTATACTAAACTTGGCAGAAAACGCTCTCTGCGATAAATTCATTATACGGTTCGCTACTGACCCCCTACGGATCCATAGAGGGTTAGTCAAATCCATAGGGTACTCGGCCTACGGCCTCACCCCCTATGGATTTTACTAACCCTCTATGGATCCGTAGGGGGTCAGTAGCAAACCATATAACTTATAATATCAGACTATCACAATTTGTTGTGGCTAGAAATTGTAGCTATGTCTCTGAATCAGTGGACTGGGAAAGCTAGTTTATTTTGAAATTTGCTTCAAACATTAAAATTGTCACAAGGTTGATATTTCAAGTTTCTTTATTCATTCAACTTGTAAATGCAATGTCATTAAACTTAAATAATAAAAAGGATTATAATGGTCCTTGGTCACTTATATGCTGGTCAGGTGCAGTTGTTGCAAGCTTCTTGTTTCTTTATGGAACCAGTACAATGTATTCCTCCATGTTGAGGAGCTGGAGTATTGCAGGACCTTACACTTTCTCTGTAACCTTGACAACCTGTATTCATGATACATGATGACCACAGTCCCCATTCACTGAATTTTCCATTGACAGCTGTCAAGAAAAAGCAATTATTTATGTATGTTTTATGTAAATATGCTCATGGTTTATTTGTACATTATTTTTGATAGTCTGGCAAAATTTGCATATTTCTACCAGTTCTTTCATTTTGAGGAGCAGGAAGTCAGATTTAGTCCTAAACTTTAATCTGTAATGGTGTTTTATAAAATCAATAGAAACAGCAAGCCTTTTACAGCATATCTACTTGAATATATACAAAGAACAATGGAATTAAGTTCGCTTGTTTCCCGAAAAGAGGTTGGAATCAACATAACCTTTGATTTTTGTCGTACCCGCCACTTTTGTCGCAAAAGCGAGATATAGCGATCCTACATTCTGTCGTCGTCATCGGTGGTGTCAACAAATATTCACTCTGTGGTTAAAGTTTTTGAAATTTAATAACTTTCTTAAAACTATCCGGGATATCTACCAAACTTGGACATAAGCTTGTTTATGATCATAAGATAGTATCCAGAAGTAAATTTTGTAAAAATAAATGTGGATAGTGTCCACATGTGGACACAGATGATGCCCCCGCTTGCATATCATATAGTTATAAAAGGACATAACTGAAGAACGGTAAAAGTGACCCTACCCAAATTTGAACTTGATCTGAGTTTTGTGGTAATAAGCATTGTGTGTAAGTCTCATAACATTTTGTTGAGGCTAACTTAAGAAACTAAAAATTTAGCAATTTTTCTATTTGTAAACACGCATAACTCTAGAACAGTTGTGTATAAGTTTTATAACATTTGGTTGAGACAAACTAAAGTTAGAGAACGGAAACGAAAAATTCAGCAATTTTTATGTTTATAAAGGGACATAACTCAAGAATGGTAAAAGTGTTGCCACCAAATTTCGTATTTAATCTGTATTATGTAGTAATAAGCATTGTGTATAAGTTTCATAACATTTGGTTGAGGCAAACTAAAGTTAGAAAACGGAAACAAAAAATTTGTACTTGATCTTAGTTTTGTGGTAATAAATATTGTGTATAGGTTTCATAATGTTTGGTTGGGGCAAACTTAAGTTACAGCAATCTTTCAATTTATAAAGGGGCATAACTCAATAATAATTAAATTGACACTACCCAAATTCAACTTGATCTGTGTTTTATCAGTGGAAGTCAAAATTAAACATTGCAGTGTATAAAGCATTGATTGTAGTTGATTCAACTATAATCTTGGACAAAGGAAGATAACTCCAATTTTAAAAATTACTTGATATTTAGAAGAAAATAAAAATTTTGCAATTTTTCCATTTCTAAAGGGGCATAACTCTAGAATGGTTAAAGTGACGCCACCAAAATTCAAACTTAATCTGTGTTTTGTGGTAATAAGTATTGTGTATAAGTTTCATAACATTTGGTTGAGGCAAACTAAAATTAGAGAACGGAAACAAAAAATTCAGCAATTTTTTCCATTTGTAAAGGGGCATAACTCTAGAACGGTAAAATTGACGCCACCAAAATTCAAACTTGATTTGTGTTTTGTGGTAATAAGCATTGTGTATAAGTTTTATAACATTTGGTTGAGGCAAACTAAAGTTAGAGAACGGAAACGATAAATTCAGCAATTTTTCATTTATAAAGGGGCATAACTCTAGAACGGTTAAAGTGACGCCATCAAAATTCAAACTTGATCTGTGTTTTGTTGTAATAAGCATTGTGTATAAGTTTCATAACAGTTGGTTGAGGCAAACTAAAGTTAGAGAACGCAAACCAATTATGGGGTATGTACGTACAGACGGACAAGGGTAAAACTTAATGCCCCCTCCGCTACGGCGGGGGCATAAAAAAAATCCTGTTTATCCGTATTTTACCTATAAATGGACTTAGTTTTTCTGCCAGTTAACATTACATTCACTCTGTGGTTAAAGTTTTTAAAATTTTAATAACTTTCTTAAACTATCCTGGATTTCTACCAAACTTGGACAGAAGTTTGTTTATGATCAGAAGATAGTATCCAAAGTAAATTTTGTAAAAAAAATCCTTTTTTTTTTCATATTTTTCTTATAAATGGACTTTTTTTTTCTGCCAGTTAACATTACATTCACTCTGTGGTTAAAAGTTTTTAAAAACATTTATAGATTCATAAAGTAGGCGAGAAACTGGGTTCCGTGGAACCCTTACAAATTTTTCTTATCCAAAGGGAAGCTACTGTTTTTAATCACAATCAAGTTTCTCATTATGTTTCTCATTTTAATAAAATTGAGAATAGAAATGGGGAATGTTTCATTACTAAACCTATTCTAGTAATATTCTACAATATTTCATGGAAAATTTGAATAGGTTAAGATTAAAATCTGTCAATTAATTTGACCATTCAAAAAGCATGAACTATATCATTTAAAATCATTGAAGAGATGATTTTAACTTTCTCTATTTTTTCCATCAATGAACATATTTCCTTAAACAGTATGACACATTTTCTTATTTCAATGTACTTACGACAAGGATTCTCATTACAACTGACAGAATTCACACCATCTCCAACACAGTCTGTGCCACCATTTGCAGTGGCAGGATTATTGCAACTTCTGTACTGAGATTGCGTTCCACCTGTAACAATGAACGAATATAAAGTAGACGACGTTAGTTAATATCATAATAAAATAAATATAGGAAAATAATAAAACAATTATACAAGTACACATGTAGTGACCACAGATTTTATGAAGGGCAAACTAATAATGTGCCGTTAAATTTGTTAATAAAAAACAAAACTGCTAAACAAAAAAGTTGGATAATTTTGTTTGTTATCTTATCACCATGCTCTTGATTAATATTTTTTGGTTATTTTCAACATTGAAATAGAACATTACAATATTGACTTAGCAGAATTCAACGTAGATGAAAGAATTATTTGAATTAAAATTGTTTGATAAAAGGATTAAGATAACTATGAATGACTTGACTGCTCCTTATGAAGGTTGTTATAAACGAATGATACCAGTATTTCATTCCATGTGAATAACACTTTCAGAATAATCAGTATCATGAAACGTTCCTGATCAATATTTTTAGAAGACTAAGACATAAAACATTTAGTCATTTTCAATGCAGAAAACTCGTTCTGTCTTTTAATGATTATTTTAATTTGCTAAAAAAACAAGGCAACTGTATATAAATTTTCCTTTATTTCCATTATTTTGAGCAAAAACTCCTTATGGTACTGTTCAGAAAAGTATCTTACATCTTAAAAAACTGATTTATCTTACTCTGGTTTTGTTTTCAGATCATATATATGTCATGGTAAGGTTGTTGTGCAAATTGTTGGCCTTGTATAAATGAACAATTGAATTTTTACTTGATAACATTTTTGTTCGCTTTGGAGATTCTGTATATCGTCAAGTTATCGGAATTCCAATGGGGACTAACTATGCACCACTTATTGTGGACCTGTTTTTGTATTGTTATGAGTTACAATTTATGACTAAAATCAGGAAAGACCCATCGAAACAACATCTGATACAAAAATTTAACAATACTTTTAGATATTTGGATGATATATTGGCTCTCAATAATGACGACTTCAGTATCTATACTAAAGAAATTTATCCTGTTGAACTTACTTTAAATAAAGCTAATACTAACAATGACCACTGTCCTTTCCTCGATCTTGATATCTATATCATTAACGGGAAGCTCAATACAAAAATTTATGATAAAAGAGATGATTTTTCATTTCCTATCGTTAATTATCCATTTTTAGATGGTGACGTTCCCTTGTCACCATCTTATGGTGTTTATATATCTCAACTTGTACGATTCGCTCGTGTATGTAACAACGTATTAGATTTTAGCGAGAGAAATTTATGTATTACTGAAAAATTACTACACCAGTATAAGGACATCATTCGTAAATATAACTCAACATGCACATCCTATCTTTTATGGTAATATTCTTAACAAAGCACAAAAATGTCAGTATTCACCTCAAAAGCTAACAAAACCTTTAAACAGACTTATTAAGAAGGGATATAGTTACGATACTGTTGTCAGGTCATTAAAGATTGCATATTTTGGCTTTAATATTGATTCACTTATAGGGTCTTTGCATCGGAATTAAATATATTTATTTTAAAACCAGTTGCTGGCATGACAAGGGTTATGTTCTTCTCATATATTTTATGATGGTATAATACTAAACCCCTAACAGGAGGGATTGTGCCTGATATTCATATGATGAAGACATAATCTTTCAATCAGTTAAATTTAGGTCTGGAGCTGGCATGTCAGTTTATGCCAGTAGTCTGTTGTTATTTATGTATTATTGTCATTTTGTTTATTTTCTTTTGTTTCCTATTCTGACATCGGACTCGGACTTCTCTTAAACTGAGTTTTACTGTGCATACTGTTGTACGTTTGTTTTTTCTACATTGGCTAGAGGTATAGGGGGAGGGTTGAGATCTCAAAAAACATGTTTAACCCCGCCGCATTTTTGCGCCTGTCCCAAGTCAGGAGCCTCTGGCCTTTGTTAGTCTTGTTTCATTTTTAATTTTAGTTTCTTGTGTATCATTTGGAGTTTAGTATGACGTCCATTATCACTGAACTAGTATACATATTTGTTTAGGGGCCAGCTGAAGGACGCCTCCTGGTGCGGGAGTTTCTCGCTGCATTGAAGACCCATTGGTGGCCTTCGGCTGTTGTCTGCTCTATGGTCGGGTTGTTGTCTCTTTGACACATTCCCCATTTCCATTCTCAATTTTAACGATTGACACTTTGATTTATAAGAACAAAGTGATTAGAATTAAGCTGAATTTACCTCCATTTCAACCTCGTTTTTCTAACTAAATTTGAGAAAGATTGATATGATGTGTAATTTAAATCATAAGAAGCTAGCAATACCTCCGCATGTGACAGAACATTCCTCAAATGCTGACCAGCTTGACCAACCACCATCTACAGGTATTCTGGATGTGAACGGAAGCTGTGATCCTGCACCCCAACCCTGTAAACAAATATAAATAATTAAGAAGTGTAATTTTTTAGCTCACCTGGCCCAAAAGGGCCAAGTGAGCTTTTCTCATCACTTTGTGTCCGTCGTCCATCGTCGTCCGTTAACTTTTACAAAAATCTTCTCCTCTAAAACTACTGGGCTAAATGAAACCAAACTAAGCCTAAATCATCCTTAGGGTATCTGGTTTAAAAAATGTATCCAATGACCCCGCCCATCAACCAAGATGGCCGCCATGGCTAAAAATATAACATGGGGGTAAAATGCAGTTTTTGGCTTATAGCTCTGAAACTAAAGCATTTAGAGCAAATCTGACTAGCGGTAAAAATGATCATCAGGTCAAGATCTATCTGCCCTGACTTTTCAGACGCATCAGACAATCTGTGGATGGGTTGCTGCCTCAGAATTGGTAATTTTAAGGAAATTTTGAAGTTTTTGGTTATTATCTTGAATATTATAATAGATGGAGATAAACTGTAAACAGCAAAATTGATCAGTATAGTAAGATCTACAAATAAGTCAAATGACCACAAGAGTGCACACGCTGAAATGTCTCGCCTTCTTTACTAATCATTGATATTATGTTGATAGTCCTAAATATAAAGCTTTATTACAACTGTCACATAAACTTAACATTAACCAAGTAAACTAAACATTGACCAATGAACCATGAAAATGAGGTCAAGGTCAGATGAACCATGCTAGGCAGGCATGTACAGCTAACAATTCTTCCATACAACAAATAGAGTTGACCTATTGCTTATAGTTTAAGAAAAACAGACCAAAACACAAAAACTTAACACTGAGCAATGAACCTTGAAAATGAGGTCAAGGTCAAATAAAACCTGCGTGACTGCCAAATAGATCATAAAATATTTCCATACACCAAATATAGTTGAACTATTGCATATAGTATAAGAAAAACAGACCAAAACACAAAAACTTAACTATAACCACTGAACCATGAAAATGAGGTCAAGGTCAGATGACACCTGCCAGTTGGACATGTACACCTTACAGTCCTTCCATACACCGAATATACTAGACCTATTGCTTATAGTATCTGAGATATGGACTTGACCACCAAAACTTAACCTTGTTCATTGATCCATGAAATGAGGTCGAGGTCAAGTGAAAACTGTCTGACGGGCATGAGGACCTTGCAAGGTACGCACATACCAAATATAGTTGAACTATTGCACATAGTATTAGAAAAAAAGACCAAAACTCAAAAACTTAACTTTGACCACTGAACCATGAAAATGAGGTCAAGGTCAGATGACACCTGCCCGCTAGACATGTACACCTTACAATCATTCCATACACCAAATATAGTAGACCTATGGCATACAGTATGAGAAAAACAGACCAAAACACAAAAACTTAACTATAACCACTGAACCATGAAAATGAGGTCAAGGTCAGATGACACCTGCCAGTTGGACATGTACACCTTACAGTCCTTCCATACACCGAATATACTAGACCTATTGCTTATAGTATCTGAGATATGGACTTGACCACCAAAACTTAACCTTGTTCATTGATCCATGAAATGAGGTCGAGGTCAAGTGAAAACTGTCTGACGGGCATGAGGACCTTGCAAGGTACGCACATACCAAATATAGTTGAACTATTGCACATAGTATTAGAAAAAAAGACCAAAACTCAAAAACTTAACTTTGACCACTGAACCATGAAAATGAGGTCAAGGTCAGATGACACCTGCCAGTTGGACATGTACACCTTACAGTCCTTCCATACACCGAATATACTAGACCTATTGCTTATAGTATCTGAGATATGGACTTGACCACGAAAACTTAACCTTGTTCACTGATCCATGAAATGAGGTCGAGGTCAAGTGAAAAATGTCTGACGAGCATGAGGACCTTGCAAGGTACGCACATACCAAATATAGTTATCTTATTACTTATAATAAGAGAGAATCTAACATTACAAAAAATCTGAACTTTTTTTTCAAGTAGTCACTGAACCATGAAAATGAGGTCAAGGACATTTGACATGTGACTGACGGAAACTTCGTAACATGAGGCATCCATATACAAAGTATGAAGCATCCAGACCTTCCACCTTCTAAAATATAAAGCTTTTAAGAAGTTAGCTAACGCCGCCGCCGCCGCCGCCGCCGGATTGCTATCCCTATGTCGAGCTTTCTGCGACAAAAGTCGCAGGCTCGACAAAAATGATCAAGTGACCAACATGGCTGACATGGCTAAAAATAGAACATAGGGGTGAAAGCAAGTTTTGAAAAAATATGTTCAGAATAATGAGTTCTACCAATTGTCCATATATACGTCAAAACTGTTAGACAAATTCTTATAGGAGTTATTGCCCATAATTGACAAATTTTACGATTTTTTTTTTATTTTTGCCTATTTTCATGAAAACTATGATATTTAGAGAGAAACATTATTTTTCTGTTATGCCTCATATGACTTAAATTATGATAGATAAATAAACACTCTAAATCACAAAAATGATCAGCAAGGCAAGATCTATTAATAAGTCAAAGAAACTAAACAGACTAAAAGATCAGTAATACAAGATCAACAAAATAGAGATTTTTGTCATGAAGTCTATTCTCGTCTACAATGGAGAGTGTGCTTTGTTTGATATGCCCATAGACCAAGGTGAGCGACACATGCTCTTTAGAGACTCTAGTTTAGTGTTGTTCTTGTTCAGTCTTCAGTTTTCTGTGTGGTGGTTTGTTGAATGTTGTATGTCTTATCAAGATATTAGCAAATCATTAGAATTGGTTGAAAATAGTCTTTTTAAACAGACATTGATTAATCATTTTGCTGTGTACAGGTCCGTGTGCTTGTTTTCAAGATATAAGCCATTGAAAATTTGGCGGGAAATTATTCTCTCTAGATTTTTCATACATATTACATTAGCTCCTTTTTTCTTTCAAAAACTATGAAAAAGTAACAAGGATTTTATAAGATTTTCAAATATGGCTATCTAAACTATATGTTATAAAATTTAGAAAAGAAAATTAAAGGTTAGTGGGCAAAATTTTTAATGGCACTAGATGGATAAAACCAGAGGATTCCGAATATCTGGCAAAAAATCAAAAACAAGAGGAGCGAACATCCTTAAAATAATGTGCAAAATCCAAAAAGTTGGTCAAATATTATCATTAACACTTTCGCTCCTGAATTAAATTTTTTTTTCGCGGGATTTGGTGGCCAAAGTTTATTTCCTCGAGCTAATTCCCCGACCGGGTTTCATTTTGCAAGATTAAAAAGACTACAGAAAAAAATCGTGATTACGGAAATCGTCGAATTTCAGTAAACGACAGTAAATTGGTCGTTCATAAGCCACGTGGTGAAAGAAAAGTTTGTTCTCCAAGGGGGGTTAATGCCATTTTGTTTATTGACTGCGATTTAAAGCAAAATTATTCTACTTTCCCGTTGAAAATTTGCGTACGGAATTTTTTCTACCTCGGTACTGTTTAAATGCGCAATAATTCCTGTAAGAAGACTTTTAGTATTTTCAGTACAAGTTATATTTTTGTACATCTTATTTTGTTGATTATTTTGTAGTTAAAAATGTCTGTCCAACTTTTTTTATTACTGTTTTCAACAGAAAAAGCAAAAACATGTATAAAACTGGTCAAAATCTTTATTAGACAAATAACCCTTTCAAGGAGTCCATGGATAGGTTTAGCTTTTTGGTATTTTTGTTGACCGTGACTTGCTGATTATTTTTACTGCATATAGTTTTCAAGATAATAGGCAAACGTGTTCAAAGTGGTCATACTCATTATTTAAGGGCAATAACTCAAAGTTGTCTGGTCATTTTGGTGTATATAGAAAGTTGGTAGATCTTGAAATACTAGAAGTGAGCATATATACATCGTCAGACTTATCTATTATGATTTCAAGATACTAAACAATTAATTGCATTTTCCCCTTATGCTTTATTTTAAGTAGTGGTTGTCATGATAGCGGATCGTGACAGGAACGCCAGAAACAAATCTAGAACAAGGTGCCATAACAATGATTGTGATTGTTTTTAATTGGTTTGTTGGTTTCAGTGGAGGACTTGTGTGTGATGCGAATAGCTCACACTGAACCTCTTTGACCAGGTGAGTTAAAAACGCAAATAATTTAATTAAATGAAATATGGCAACTTCATTATTATCATTATTCATCTTTGTAATGGTAATTAAATATATGCACACTAATTACTACAACATATGTATTACCTGAGGTGGTGTTTGATCTGTAGCAGCCAATGTTCGTGTATCTGTAGCCATTTGACCCTAACAATTGAAACACAATTTTTAGCACAGATAATACAATGCACCCTTTAATTTTAGTTTTGTATGTTGTGTTTTGTGTCATATTGTTTGTCTGTTTGTCTTTTTCTTTTTTAACCATGGCTTTGTCAGTTTATTTTTGACTTATGAGTTTGAATGTCCCTCTGGTATCTTTCGCTTCTCCTTTTCTTAATGCAAATTTAAATCATTAATAAAAATATTAAATGATGACAAATTTTTACCTTCCATACTTCTTACAGTCCTTCAACATGTTTATTTCTGTTATCTCAGAGATTTGATATGAAACAATAAAAAACAAGAATGTGTCCATAGTAGACAGATGCCCCACTCGCACTATGATTTTCTATGTTCACTGGACCATAAAATTGGGGTCAAAACTCTAATTTAAATTAGAAAGATCATATCATAGGGAACATGTGTACTAATTTACAAGTTGATTAGACTTCAACTTCATCAATAAACAGTTGTGCCATGAGCACATGATACGCCCTTCGCTTTTTCAAAGAATAAAGTTCAATAACTTCTCAACCAAAGTTTCATGATAGCTGCTCAAAGCATTGTCTGAAAACTGGAAAATTCCACCTTTTTTATGAATAAAATCACATAACTCCGAAACGTAAATTCTAAAATTTATAAAAATCGAAAGGGAGCTTACTTCAATAGACATAAACAATTCACCAAAGTTTCACGAAACTGCTGAAAGCATTTTTGAGTTATTGTCCGAAAACTGGATAATCCCCCTTTTTTTAATGAATAAAACCCCATATTAACTCGGAAACGTAAAATCTAAAATTTATAAAAATCGAAAGGGAGCTCACATCAATAGATATAAACAATTCACCAAAGTTTTTTGCAAATTGGTGAAAGTGCTTGTGAGTTATTGTCCGAAAACTGGAAAATCCACCTTTTTTAATGAAAAAAAACGAACAGAGGTATACCATAATACATACCGTCAACAGGCGTATAAAAACTGCCTTGGCATTTTTTACCAAGAACTTTAACCTGAAGCAAGACAGAGGGATGAACGGACGAACGCACAGAACAAAAAACATAATATCCCTAAGTGGGGCATAATAAGTGGGGTATAAACAGCACCAAACCACACATGGTTACAAAAAAGTTATCTAGAGATTGCAATGCATAGTTCATAAAATGACATCCAATCAAACATAGTATGAGGCAAGTCTAGACAACTTGTGAGTGAATTTATATATAACGAGTGAGAATGGGATATCGCTTCATATCAACTGGAGTTTTTAATATCAATATAATAATAAACTCGCCTTCTATTATTACTATTTAAATCAAATAACAAGAATTGATATCAAGCAATATCCAATTCTCACAAGTTGTTAAACCTATTTCTCTTATGGTCAACACTTTTATTGGGATAAATTGAAAATTCCACGAATCCCTGATCTAGTCTTTTGCACATACCAGTATGACGTCATATTTCCTACTCTGGCATCAAACTTCAACATCAGACATTTTCAAACTTTTTGGACGCTTCAGAATTAATGAAATTTGACAAAAAGACCATTTTTAGGTAAAAAGTGAGTGTGTATTGTGTATCATTGAAGAAATCGCATATTTCAAATACCAATGACAAATGTAAATAGACAATGGGAATGTTGTTGTATTGTCTCATGATGCTGGTTAAGCCAATCAAATTAACACAGTTTTCATATCACTACACGGAGTGTGATACGAGAAATATCTCTCCATGCAAGAAATAAATAACAGGCCACAACCATTAGAGAATAAAAATTATCTCTCTGTTATCTGTCCAGTACATATTTTCCATCTATAATTGGATAATTTTTATCTGACAACAATATCAAAATTAACATACTGTCTATTATTTCACAAATAAGAGTATATATTATTCAAAATGCCATCAAAGGGGATGTCACTTGGCAACAACGCTTACACTGCTTGTTTTTCTGTAATTTCCAGGATTGTTGTAGGCAGCCTGACGACAATCACCATTCGACCTATCCCCAGACAACACTTCTATTTTTACATAGGGACAATAACCCTCACAATTTTTGGTTGTAGAATCTGTTCTTGATTTGTAGCTGATGAACTTCAAAAATAACATTCTGCAAAAAAAAAATTAATATTCAAATATATGCAAATGAGGAAAAAGCTTTAATTGAACATAAATTACCTTTATGAACTGTACTAAGTTATTTTCTCTCAGGTGATAATGTTAGAACAAATGAACTAGACTCAATAATTTGAACAACTGAAACTACTATAATTGTACATAATAACATCTGTAGAGGCATTTATGTTTTTATATCTGCTGTAATCACAATGTGTACATAAGCATAGGTACATGCCTGTGCTTCATCGTTTATAGCTTATTAAGATGTTATATATATTACACTTGAGGAAATTAAATGTTTTTTAGGCATCCAATCATTATATTCACTACTTAACAATTAAGATGTCTCCATCTTATCCAACCACTCGTTCTGTAGTTTACAAAGCAATTTATTATTTCTTTCCCGTCATTTAGTTTTGTACTTACCCAATCGACTTGTCCCAAACATATCTGTCTCCAAGAGTATCACTATCAAGTTCTTGGATAGATTGTACCTCCGTCCAGTCAAGCAATTTAAGCCGCCTGAGGGGGGATTTTGTGAATAGGTTAAAGGTGGCATCAGATGGCATACATATACCAACTCTTACATATTGGTCCCTGCAATCATCATTCAGATGTTAAAAGGCAAAAATTTTATTTTTCATTCTTTTCTTTCCTTTTCACTTCTAATAATTTAGTTAAATTAGCTCACATAATACAAAATGCTTTCATATTTAAAATTGAAAATCAACTGGAAATGTTGGTATATTACATATCATTAACTATGAAAGTACTTTTGTTCTTGGGTATCCATATTCGTGTTTTGAGCATAAGTTACATGTTTGTGGGTTTGTAAATTCTTGGATTATAGTTTTCTGAAAAAAAATCTACTGACGAATTTAAAGCCAACAGATTTAACATATAATCACATGTTGTTTTATAGTGATTTGTGGGAAATTGCAAAATAAGGTGTTCATTTGCACTTGATTGTCTTTCGTTACTGACAACATTCATCAAATTTATAATTAAATAATTGCTTTCAGAAATAAACTGACTCATCTATATGCTTACATACCTTTCTTTTATATTTTACAAATCGTCTTGATTGAAGGAAATTGTGAAGTAAACATTTTAATTGTTGCACACGTGTAATCAGAAGTGATGACACAATAAACACAAGATAGAATGATCAACAGATTAAGGATCAACAAAGGTATTAATTTGGACACAAACATTTAACTAAAAGAAAACGGTTCCATAAAAAATCCTACAAATGAACTTTAAATTAGAGAATTAATTTACATGAAACAAAAAAGAAAGCCCAATATGAAATTAAAACTTTTTTTCTTGTATGAGAATTATAGTTTAGCTTTTTAAAGATTAAATAGGTAAAATCCGATCTGAAGTTGTATATATTTAGTTCATTATAAACTGCAGTTGCTAATATTTGATGTATTCTCTAGATTATATGCCTGTATCCATGTAGTCAAACCTTCATGAAGATCTTTCCATGTCTTGATTTGGACAACAGTTGTTACATTTCGCTGGATACTTAAATTCATGGATAAATCCATTCACGAAAACCACTAAATTGGTACCCCATAAATAAAAGTACTTTAACAACATTTAAAAGTTAAAAAGATATCAAAATGTGCCAATTTCATGAAACAACCATACATCAGCATGAGAATATTATATACCAAACTTACAGCTCAACTCCTTTGGTATATATTGCAAATTTACTTGGAATTCCATTACTCCAATGTAGTGTGTAGCTATGGGTTCCACCTAAGATGGCCATGAACTCATTTGTTTTTTCACCAGATAGCGTCTCTGAAGAATCAGGTTGATCATCTCTGACCATTATAGATTCAGTCTTTCCATGTTCTGGAGAACTTTCATCAATATCGATATTAAGCTGATGAAGAAAGTTATAGAATTAGAATAAATCAATTTTGTAAAATATATAACTGAAAAAGAGAAGTGGAAAATACCAAATGGATATTGAAATTCAATGTTGAAGACAAACTGACAATGCCACAGCAAAAAATGAAAAAAAATCAAAAGACCAACAACAGTCTACAGAATAAGGATGTAAAAACATACAACATGCACTAACAAATTTTGAAACCAAATTTACGGAAGCTATCACTTGTAGTTTTTGAGAAATAGCGACGAAAAATTCATACAAGGTCATAATGTTTCAGTATTCTGTAGTATATTCAGTAAATAGGAGGTTGAAAGGCGATGGATATAGAAACGCATCACATAGTATAGTATACAAAATTTCAGGGAACTTTGATTTGTAGATCTTGAGAAAAAAGCGACGAAAATTTCATGTCTGGCCAGAATGCATAAGTTTTTTTTTTGGTATATACGAGATAGATAAGTGATGGATATAATAATTCATCAAATGATATATAAGGCTTACACATATCAAGCTTGACATCAAATACCTAAGAGCACTGATTTGTAGAAATCAAGAAAAATGTGACGAAAATCTCTTTGTAGAGAAGGGCGGATAGAGTTTCAACAGTTTACCCTCCTTCAGAGAAGGGGATAATATCATTGTGTAAGGGAAAATGCGAACAATTTTTCATTTCAACTTAGATGAGGAAAGGCACAGGAAGAAGTCTTGGCGCAAGTTGTGATCCTGCTAAGTAAAGGTCTTTTAATAAATTTTGGGATAATTAAGGGTTTTAAAGGAAGTTTGAAGTACTCCATATTCTGGGTATATTTGTGGGGTTTGTGTTGTACATCTTTAGTTTTCTATGTTGTGTTTTGTAGACTGTTGTTTACCTTTTCTTTATTTTTCCTTTGTTGCCATGGAGTTGTACGTTTGTCCTTGACTTATAAGTTTGAATATCCATTTGGTGTGATCTGGTTCTCTTCTCGTCTACGATTCTTAAGTCAGAGGAGAAATTAGCCATAATGGGATTTCTTCAATTACCACCTTAGCATGTAATGTAAACATACACACGTCTATTAAACAAAACCTTATAGGACTAACAATAGCATTACTAAGTCACAGTGTCACACTGTCAGACAATTAAGTCTAGATAATATTCGATCCTTCTTTTCATCATTGAGCCTTATATAAATGTTAAATTCTTGTTTAACAAAAATTTTAAACACCACCATTAACTCCACCTCTCAAATGTGTGTGTTTGTCTGTGTGTGTGTTTTTTAAAAAAAAAATTTTATCATACCTTTGCATACTTGTAAGGACACATAGCCATTTTCCAGTTTTTACGGTATATACATGACGGCGTTGTATAAAATAGGCCTGGTTTGACAATTTGTTGGATTGGTGCCAAGTTTGTGACAGTACCATCTTCATCCCTAAAGGTGGCGGTTTTGTCACCATCTAAATTATCAAATCCATGAACTGTCTCATCACCATCATAAACACGATTTCCACCTGTAGGCTATGGAAAAAATTAAAGCAAGTCTTTATACAGATCACATTTGAGAATTGTTTCAAATAGCACAAATCTATCACTAAAAAAAAACCATGATGTTCACATTATATAGTTTTTCAAGTTATGAATATGCGTCTGGCACACATACAATTTATAGATAGACCCCTCATGAAATTTATTCCAGAAACACATTTCGTGTGCAGTACAATAGGTATCATAAGTTACGGAGATAAGAAATATATATACATAGATGTATCTAAAGTCAACACATTGTTAACAGTGTGCACCAATAAAAAATCATACGTAATCAAATACAATTCAGTGCAATTTTAGCATTAGCCAAAAATATGTAGTGAAAATGTATTTTTCTGTTCCTTTGAACATCTAAATTGCACTATTATTACCAAACGAATTGACAAGCAAATTTACTAGATTTTAGAAATATTGATGTATTATTATTTTTGAAACACTCATATTATATAATAATAAAAAATTTCCCGTACAGAAATTGCTAACAAAAGCACATAAGTTTCACATGTGAATCACATAAGATGCAAGTAAGAATTGTATGCAAATCAGATTGCACACATGTGCAGTTCTGTAGTTCATATGAGCTCCAAAAATTCTAACATAATGCTCATAAGAGCAATTCAAACCTCAGGTGAGCTTTTATCATCTATGTTAGTTTTATGTTAGTTTTGAACTTAGAAAAGTTTGTCTATTCTTCTTAACCATTAAAAACTAACATAGATCATTGCTCATATGAGCTTTTTCAAACTGACATGCCCAGTCATGTACTTCCTGTAAATTCAGATTTAAAGCATCAATTTGGAGGGAGATGGAGATGAAAAATATTAAGCCATGTTTTTGTGTTATTGAAACTATGCAATTGTTGGAATCTGATAAAACCAGTGTGGCTGTGGTAAATTATTTGTAAGTTATCATTTCTATTTCATTTTTGTTTCAGATTCTGAAATTTATTACAATTTTAAGTCCTTTATGGGAATATGCATGTGCATCAAATTAGTATTACATGTTTATAGATAATTCCTGTTATAAACTTTCTGAAATATAGTACTTATATAATAAAAGACATTCATAATGTACTAAATTTGTAAGTCCCTGCACTTAGTTTTATAATGTTACAAATGTAATGTTTACAGTTATTATTTTTTTAGTAACAAAAAGGACAAAATAATATGAAAATCATAACTGACAAAAATAAAAAATAACAAGTAACGTGATGTGTTCATTTATTTTATACTATTAAAAATTTTCATTTGAATTTTGAATTTTATCCTATTTTGAAGCAGCCATTTTCATGATTTTGTTTTGATCTTTAGGTACAATTTAATCATCATCATCTGGAGATCATTAGATAAAATCAAATGGGTCAACTTCTTTTCACATGTGCAAAATGTGAGCAGCTGGTCATATGAGCAATCTGATAATGCACATGTGAAACAAAAGCTCATATGAGCATTTGCAAGTGAGGTTTTAACATGCAAATTAGGTTAGTTTCATATGTGCAATTTTTGTGCTAACAAATTGCTCACCTGATTTGCATGTTAAAAAACTCATGTGCAATCATGTTAGTTTCTAACGTTAGATCTAATGTGAGCATCTTATGTGCAACTTGTTAGCACCATTTTGACGTAAGGGTTTATCATAATTATAGATGTATTTATTGTGCTTTTACATCATTCTAATAAATTTAAATAAAGTTGTGACAACGTCAGGAGACTTTTGGAAATTAAAACATTAGTGAACTGATATTGCTAATAGTACAAACATTAGTGAACTGATATTGCTAATAGTACAAATATTTGAATGTCATGTTTTTAGATACTCACATCACTGTAACTAAATTTGATATTAATGGCAGCACTAACAGGAGAACTGCTAAATCTATTACTTTTTCTGAATGATAAAGCACCCATGGTATAATTCTCTGTCGGAGAAAACTTGTCGAACCAGATGCCATCTAAGTAAACAGGACCATCGTAGAATATAAAACCTTGAATTGGATATTTGCTGTAAGGAAATGAATACAACTGATATCTCTAAAATGCTTTTTTAATAAACATAATGGTTTTCCACAGATTTTTGAAGCGAATAATAAAATTCAACAAAATTCAACACTTGACAATTTTCAAAATTTTACTCTATTCTATTAAAACGAAGGGAGGGAAAAAAGCGGGAAAAAAAGAAAGTTTTAAAAATTTCCAAAAAATGTAATGTTATAAAAGCTTTAACTGAAAGCAGATTTAAGATACTGAATATGTACTTTTTACATTTTCGAACTTTGTTGTACTAAGGTAAATTTCCACTAAAATAAATACATGTAAATATTAATATATACAGTTAAACATATACATTTTTATTGGAAATACTGCAAAATTCATAGGCAATATCAAATTCAATAAAATAAAAACACACAAAGCTAGAGGCTCTCAAGAGCCTGTGTCGCTCACCTGTATCTACTGTGGTTTTGGAAATCATGTAAAATAAGGTTAAAATCATAATAAATAGTATTAGATATCCTAATGATGATTGAGGCCAAGTTTGGTTCGATTTTGCCCAGTAGTTAGATTAAAAGCAAGTGATCATCTAAATGTATTCTTACATTTTTGTTCGCTTTGGAGATTCCGTATATCGTATATCATCAAGTTATCGGAATTCCAATAGGGACTAACTGTTCACCACTTATTGCGGACCTGTTTCTGTATTGTTATGGGTTACAATTTATGACTAAAATCAGCAAAGACCCATCAAAACAACATCTGATACAAAAATTTAATAATACTTTTAGATATTTGGATGATATATTGGCTCTCAATAATGACGACTTCAGTATGTACACTGAAGAGGTTTATCCTGTTGAACTAACTTTAAATAAAGCTAATATTAACAATGAACACTGCCCTTTCCTGGATCTTGATATCTATATCATTAATGGGAAGAATTTATGATAAAAGAGATGATTTTTCATTTTCTATTGTTAATTATCCATTTTTAGATGGTGACGTTCCCTTGTCACCATCTTATGGTGTTTTTATATCTCAACTTGTACGATTCGCTCGAGTATGTAACAATGTATTAAATTTAGCAAAAGAAATCTATGTATTACTGAAAAATTATTACACCATGGTTTTCGATATCACAAACTAGTCAAAACATTTACTAAATTTTATCATCGGTACAAGAACATCATTCGTAAATATAAATCAACATGCAGACATCTTATACGTTCAGGTATTTCACATCCAATCTTTTATGATAATATTCTTTACAAAGCACAAAAATGTCGGCATTCACCTCAAAAGCTAACAAAACCTGTAAACAGACTTATTAAGAAGGGATATAGTTATGATACTGTTGTCAGGTCATTAAAGATGGCATCTTTTGTCTTTAACATTGATTCACTTATGGGGTCTTTGCATCGGAAATAAACACATTTATTCTAAAACCAGTTGTTGGCATGATACGGGTTATGTTTTTCTCATATATTTTATGATGGTATGATACTAAACCCCTAGAGGGAGGGATTGTGCTTGATATTCATATGATGAAGACATAATCTTTCAATCAGTTTAATTGAGGTCAGGAGCTGGCATGTCAGTTACTGCTAGTAGTCATTTGTTAATTTATGTATCATTGTCATTTTGTTTAGTTTCTTTTGTTACCTATTGACATCGGACTCGGACTTCTTTTGAACTGAGTTTTACAGTGCGTAATTGCTGTGTGTTTGTTTTTTCTACATTGGCTAGAGGTATAGGGGGAGGGTTGCGATCTCAAAAAACATGTTTAAAACAGCCGCATTTTTGCGCCTGTCCCAAGTCAGGAGCCTCTGGCCTTTGTAAGTCTTGTATGATTTTTAATTTTAGTTTCTTTTATATATTTTGGAGTTTAGTATGACATCAATTATCACTGAACTAGTACACATTTTTGTTTAGGGGCCAGCTGAAGCACGCCTCTGGGTGCGGGATTTTCTCACTGTATTGAAGACCCATTGGTGGCCTTCGGCTGTTTTCCGCTCTTTTGTCAGGTTATTGTCTCTTTTGACACATTCCCCATTTCCATTCTCAATTTTACAATACTTACTGAAGACCCCATATCATTATTTAAATTAGTTTTCAAGTTGTGTCCATTTGAAATTGTTTTTTTACAATTTTCCCCCATCAACTTCTACAGTAAACCTCTATGTTCTATTTATAGCCATGGCGGCCATGTTGGTTGGATGACAGGGTCATCGGATACATTTTTCTATCAAGATACCCTTTGGAAATTTGTGGCTAAGTTTAATTCTATTTGGCCAAGTAGATTAAGTGGAGAAGATTTTTGCAAAAGATTACAAAAATTTAAGAAAAATTGTTAAAAATTGACTATGAAGGCTATAACTCCTTAAGAGGTCAATTGACAATTTTGGTCATCTTGTCTTCTTTGTAGATCATAATTTGCAGAACATTATTGGAGGGTAGTAATGCCCTTTACTGTCAGGCGTCAAACGGTCATTTAGGCTACCGTTAGTGTCAAATTGATTAAAATCTTAGTGATTCGTCAAAATATCTTTATCGTGATTCGTCAGAGGTCTCAAATAATTATCATTAGCATCATTTTTTGAAAAAATTTAACGTGATGCGTCAAAATCAGTCGATTTTTTTTATCGTCTAAAAGAAAGTGTACATTTTGGGGCCCTTTATAGCTTAATGTTCGGAGTGAGCTAAGGCAGTAACTTTGACTTATAATTGTTTACTTTTTATACATTGTGACTTGGATGGAGAGTTGTCTCATTGGCACTCATACCACATCTTCTTTTCCTGATAAGAAATTTGATTGTATATTGAACACTGCATAAATAAAATCATTTTATTTATTGCAGCATTTGCCAATTTGATCTGCTTATAAATTAAATAGATATTGTTTACAAATAGTAATATTGTGACTCTTCTTATCTTAAACTTTTTTATTTCAAGATTCATTCTACATCAAAACAAAATGTCTGTTCCATTTAATAAACATACCCCCAATATTTCAAAATTCATGTTATTCCAATTTTTTTGTTAGTCAGATCTACCTTGAGATGAAGACAAGTGATAACTAATATTTGGCATTTAGTATTTCTGGTACTTACGGATCCCATGGCATAACAAGTGATCGTGGGTAATCACGCAGTCTCCTTATACTGTTATCCCAAACTTCTGTTTTTTTACCAATATTATCGGTTTCTCCCATAAACACACTATTCTCTATAATTTGTGCTTGTGGGGTAGAGCTGAAATAAAGGTTCAGTCAATTGATATAACAAAAACCTATATTCCAAGATTATTATCCCAAATTTTAATAAGTCTATCTAATTCGATTTTTTTATCACATTTCCTAAGATGGACGGAAATTCTAAATTTATTCACAAGAAAGTTATATTTAATATTAGGGAAATATCTTTTTTAAATTTAATAAATCTGTATTATATACAGATAAAAATATAATTTATTCTTTGGCAAATACAAACAATTATAAATAGAAATTCTGGTTTTTGAAAGGACATTATTCAATTCCATTACTTTCAAGAAATAAAAAAATTACCTTTCTTTTTTTTTTTGCTTTTTCAGAATAGAGAAAAATTGAATGAATTTGCAGTTATATCCAATCTAATTATCTCCCCTTGAATTAAAATCATTTATACGAAAGTTATTTATTTCCCTTGGAAAACATAAACATAAATTCTCAGGTTATACTAACCCAAATAATTGGTTATATTCTGCTGATCTATGATTACTACATTAACACCTGAATGCATAGACAATTAAAAATCTTCAATCAATCATTCAGAATTACCTCTTGATTTACCTGTCTCGATAAATTTGAGCTGATTGATGATTGGTCACATCTTCTACAGGGCACCAATCATAATCCAGGATTCATGAAGAGTTTTTATTGTGTAAGGAATTCAGGCCCTCGCAAGTAGGAGGATTGATTATTGGGAGGGACTGAATTATTTGGGTTAAGGTTATACCAATTTACCAAAAAACGCAACAAATCCCAGTTGATTGCCAAACAGATGCTCTATTGAGCACTGTCTCTCTACCTTATAATTGGATAGAACTTGTTGCTTGTAGTCCCTATTTCACCAGAAGGATAAAGTTCTGAGGAAAAATAGTAATAACTATAAAAATATTTAAAAGAAGCATTTTGTTTCCAAAATTCTAAAAAAAGGGATTAAGTTTTTTTAATAAAAATTTTACAAATAAAGAGAGAATATTATAAAAGACGATAAAAACCTCGTTATAGATTACGGTTGAATCCATTTAGCTTTCAGTTTGTTAATATTCATTTTCCAATAGATATATATATTTTGTCCTTTTTTATAAATTTTTAATTTTAAAATACTTTATAATAAACAAAATTGACAACAACACTTCAAATGGTATGCAATTTTATTTACTATGGTCTACATGCGTTGGTAACAATGGGAAGATTTTAATCATCGCTAATGGAAAATATTACTAAATCATTAACCCTTTTGCCGATAAGTCCCGGTTTACCAGGATTCACGCTTCAGACAGCTGACGATGAGTCCCGTTTTACCGGGATCGGAATACCTCTTTTATATTTCCCGCTCAAAACAGTGTAAAAACGAGTTATCTTTCTTTGTTGAATACCCGGATGAAAGTGTAAACATGGTGCTTCCGTTTGTTGAAAACCGTGTCAAAATCAGAGGAAATTTACGGAATTTACTAGAATTTGAAATGAGGGAACATTTTTTTTGAAAGAATATGGAAGAATTGAAGCCAAACTAATATACTTTTTTGACATAAAATGTCGTTTTATGTACAAAACACTTGGAATGGATATCGTTCAGTGAAAGGAATTTGTACAGCCTCATTAAATTTTTCAAAATTTTGCCGTTTGGGTTAAAAAATTACTATTTTGGGTCAAAGAGCAGAATTTTGAGAATTTCACCTAGATAATGCCGAAAATTTGAAAATTTGAATATTTTATGAAGAAAAAATTATCAAAACATGAACAAAACTGTGAACATGGTGTTAGTGAATGAAATAAAGACACAAATAACTACAGACAAGATTTTATTGACATTTATTATGAAGATCTCCCACTTGAGTAATAGTAGCCAGGGAAGCCATCGTCTCAGAGTAGCTTCTGTCTGGGCAGCTATCAGTGAAAGGGTTAAAACAAATCACTGGATACTTTCGTATCAAGCATAACACATATGTCATTTGAAAACAGTTTTAGAAAAATTGTGATGGAAACAATTGTATTTTGGACCTTAATTATAAGAGAAATTTATTACGGAACGTTTCCTTGATGCTACAAAACAACATTATCTATATTATAGAATAATTTTACTTACGCTGCAAACGTCAGTCCTGAAGAACTGTCTGCTGACCTAGGAAAATAATTATCTTGTTTAAGCAATATTAAGAACATATTAATGACCAGCAAAAAATATGATGAAAGATAAGTTAAGATACAAATTACGCAGTCCTGAAGAATCAAGTATTGAAATCCATTTCTGATTTTTCTAAATATTTTCAAAAGAAAATCATCATCATCATTATCAGTTATTAATTATCAATTATCATCATCAATTATTAATTATCATCATCATTATCAATTATAATCTGATCATCAACCACCACCAGGGGCCTCGGTGGCCAAGTGGTCTAAGTAGTTCTACTACTGTAATCACTAGCCAGTCAACACTGAGGTTGTGAGTTCGAACCCCGCTCGTGCATGTGCACTCAACTCCAATCTTAATTGACTAGGATTGTCAGTTTTCCTATCGAAGGTCGGTGGTTTTTCTCCAGGCACTCCGGCTTCCTCCACCTATAAAAACTGACCGCCACGAAATAGCCCAAAAGTGGCGCTTAAAAGTGGCGTTAAAACACCAACAATCAATCAATCAATCAACCACCATCACCAAGGAATATGTGATTTGATTAACAACATTTGATACCTTTCTTACTAATAATCTCATGTATGTTATATTCTTGACTTTCATTCTTGAAACGTTTTCAATTTAAAAATATGTAAAGTGGTCCATATGACCCTGTGTGACCACGATTGCTACTGTCCGTGGTAAATTGAAACTTTGAATGTCAATAACTAAGTCCATTTATCAGTGAAATAGAAGTATAAAATTTTTCTTTAGATGCTCTTTCAGGAAAGTTTAACAAAGTTATTGATTAGTACAAAAATGTAATCCCAAACTGTATGTAAAAGTAATCTGCAAAAACAGTAAGTCACTTATAAGTAAAACACAGAATGAAAAACATATTGTCAAATTTTCTATTCAAACAGTATCTAGCTCTTTACCATAGAAAAAAAGCTTCTGCATAAGTGCCATAAAATTCTTTGAAGGTTTGACAAAGTTATTGATGTCAAAAGAACTTTAGCCCTGAGTTTGAAGACTGACTTTAATGTTAGTTGCGGAGTTTAGTCCCATTATTTTCTTTCAGGTTCTCTTAGGTGAAAGGAAAGAATAACACATGTATCAATATCTTAAGAACAAAACTTTCTGTTGAAAAACAAAGCAATTGAATAGTTGAAACTATGACTTATCAGCATAGGCTATACATTTTGGTTATGAACTCAGTCAACTTACGAGTATTGTTGCATTATAATCAAACCACCTCTAACCCACGAGTTGAATCTGTTCTTCCAACCTATATATAAAAATGAATAGAAACTAAATATGTATAATGTAAAAACGAAATTAATATAGTAATATACTCATCTTTCTTCAGTAGTTGACTAAGTTCTATTGTTTTCCGTTAAAATAGTCTACCGGTAGTTGAAATTGAATCAAGAAATCTTAGAAAATCTTCATACTTCAACAGGGTTATGAAGAACGATTGAAATAGTTTCTCTACTGTCCTTGGAGAATAGTTGCAGTGAACAATTGTCTGATATTACTAGATACCAAGTTATTTTATCATAATTGCTAAAGTATCAACTAGCTTTTATTACCACTTACTATAACCAGAATTAAGAATATAGGCGTAAATATGTGCCTTCAAAAACAACAGTAAGACAAAACACTGTCTGGGGATGTGATTTCTTAAATTGACTGAAATGATAATTGCAAGGTTTTTATTAATGCAAATACATGTAATACGACTGGGTGAGTATCGCAATAAGAAGAACTTGCATTCTGAATTCGATGCATATGTGTTTGTATGCATATTTTCTTGAAATCTCAATAATTACTCTCCTATTCTTTTTCATTCTTCAAATATCCCAATAATAAATGCATGCAGTAATTTCTGAGTTTACAGTATATGAATATTGTTGGAAAATAAATCTTTTATCAATTTATGTATTATTTGTTTATCTATCTTTTAAAGATATTATATAATTTATTGATCAATCGATAGATTAATTGTTTAAAGCCACTTTCAGCACTATTGTGCTATTTCGTGGTGGTCAGTTTTTATTGATGGAGGATGCTGGAGTGCCCAGGTAAAAACTCTAATAATTTGGCATTAAAATTAGAAAGATCATATCATAGGGAACATGTGTACTAAGTTTAAAGTTGATTGGACTTCAACTTCATCAAAAACTACCTTGACCTAAAACTAACCTGAAGGGGGACAGACGGAAGAACAGACAATGGACAGAGGAGGACAAATGAATGGACGCACAGACCAAAAAACATATTGCTCCTAGGTGGGGCATAAAAATTGAATGATTTTCATTTACTGCAACTATGCACTTACATGTTTGTTTAACAATGTATACTGGATCATCTTCTGACAAAGGGTTGGAAGGATCTGTTGGCATGGTTCTAGGGTAATAAACATTTGTACCTTTGACTATAAGCTCACCATTTTCTGCAATTATTCTGCCGTCGATGAATAAACCCTGAAATAAAAAAGCAGAAAGCTTCAAATATTTCAACTAGTTGTATCTTCAAGATAAAGTTTTGTTTCTTCATTCTTGTTTATTTCTATTTATAAATAAGCTGAGGTGAGTACATCAATTACCTAATTTCAACAAAACAGAAAGACAATCAAAGTACTGAAGTACTGAACATCGGATGACCGCAGGTTCTTGTGGATGGTCAAAAGCACATGTCACAGAAACAGATCACATCTCTATACCTGAAACTGAGGTTAATTTACAGAGATTTTTTTTTTCTTATACAAGTTCGTGCTTGGATGATGAATAAATGACAGGAAATTCAACCTCACCGTAATAACTATTATAATGTAGTGATACAAATCAGAATACCTTAGACTATTAAACTAATATAATAATAGTTCCAGAGAATACACTGGTTTGTTGTTATATATTATGTTAATATTACGGTTGCATGTATATATAATTTTCATCTATTTGTATATCATACTATTCTACTATTGTTATAGTGTAATGCAAGTGCATGGTGGACACTCTTCTGTAAAAAAAATCAAAGTCTTAAAGGCTGTAAAAGCAATTGCTGCCATGTTAATGTTTTGTGGACTTTTATTTTTCATCCATATATATAAGAATTAAACCTGACAGGACAGGAGTGTTGACTAGTGAGAAGCAAGACGGGTTTTAACTTTATATCAATATAAGACTTTAGCAGGAAATCATTTTAAATATGTTTTATATTTCACAAGGAGACAACAAGTTATGGATTATCCACTGGTAGTGTTTGTAACTGGGCAATAATTTCCTTTATTGATTTAATTTTAACCATTTTCATAATTAATTTAAATTAACCATTCAGTTAAAACATTTCAACTTTCCAGACGCAAATGTTGAAAAACGGGACAGAAATAAAATATCTTACAAGACATAAACATGTAAAAATTAAATATATATTTCAGCTTACTAAAAATATTTTCATAATGTTACTTTGACGTCATTTCTTAAAAACTAAGTCCCAAACATAATTGCTCAGTTGACATGTGTCATCCTCATGCGATACGAGATAACTATAATTCTGATGCAATCCCGAAAAGGGGGATCATCACAAACAAACATGACATTAAATTGTCATTATACGAACTAGAACAAACAGCTCTATGTTGCTTTGATATTTATCAATTTTCAGGAAACATGTGAAATAAATTTCAGGTCCATTTCATTATAGTGCCTAACAAGATTGTGTGAGGTAGACGAAATTGACCTTAAAACGATCGTATTGTCTTTTGATGTCCAAAAATAGGCAGATCGGACATATAAGGACTTTATCTAATGACTACATAAATTTGGGATTTATTATTATTATAATATTCTAATGAAACTGAAAATTGTATTTTTTTTTAGGATAAACAACAATTTTACCTGGCGTAGCCGTGCATAAATGTTATTCTGCATTTATCTTCGAAAAATGGCGTATTTAATAGAATAGAACGTTAATACAGTAAACTTTCTCTTTTTTCTCCGCAATAGGCTATCAAAAATAATTTATCTAATGTGTATGTGGAAAATTATGTGAAAAGATAAAAAGTGGCAATTGTTACCTTTCATACCTTAAGTTTCATTCATCTGATTCTGACCAATGCTTATATACTAAATATCTATTTATATGCCGCTATTATTGTTGTTGTTACCAATAATGTAAATCAATTGTATCTGATTTTATGCCCTTTATGGGCCCTGTAATTTGGGAAATAAAAAAAAAATCTATTCATTGATAAAACATAATATGGACTGGTCCAGTGTCCAGTTTGCAGGTCATTTAATTTTCTGTACACATTCATGCACGCTCTGATTTAATCAATATACTCGTACGAAAAAGCATGAACAGTTTGAAGGTAATCTAATAATAACTTAATCCAATCAAATTGCATAAGATTCAATAACAATGTCAAGTCCACATCATAATGAGTAATAGAGGTAAACTGGGTAGGGAGAAAATGACAGATATTTCAAGTTAATATTTATGCAATAATGAATTAAAATTTGTCAACCAAAAGTTTTGCTACAATTTCAAAAACATGTCGTTCTGTATGGGTATAGTTTTCGGATCTTTCATTAGCGTATTTAAGGCTATAAAAAGTTTGGGCTTCAAAAGTTCACACAATTATTGACTTTATACAGAAAATTCGTCCTTGTAAAACATTTAATAGTTCACAAATGATACGCGATTTTAAAGTAAAATTATTTCTTAAAACACTGCAAAAAATTTCATTCATATTGATAAAGTGGTATCGTCATAAAGTGCGTTGAAATGAACAGTGGTATAGCAAACATCGAATTCCCTCACAAAATGTTATCACACACTACAGTAAGGGGAGTCAGTTAAGTTTGTCTATTTTTAGATACTATACAGGTAATCATTTGACTACGTATACAACCTGTGTGACCCTGTGTAGTGATTTTGATTTTACGATAAATTCATGAATGAACGATAATTTTATGAATGAACATGAGCACCTGACCTCTTTCTTAAACACCTATTAAACATATAAAACCGTATTTAATAAGGAGATAATTCAGTCAAATTTTCAGTACTAAATCAACAACTGAAATGATTCCATTTTTTGATGAAACATCGTACGAACGGAGAGCGGAATTGCAGGTATAAAAATGCACTTTTTTCCCTTGTAATGACCGCGGATCTATAATTTTTATAGATCGGTTGAAATCCCAAAACTAATTTGCATAATGGAAATTTAGGCGATAGCAATACATCGGAGTGACCTCAAGGTCATCCTCTGTAAAAAGGAAATTTACATCATTTTGTGGGAATTATTCTTTCAAATATGTACCAAATTATATGGATCATAATTTATTTGAATTAATTCTTGTGATTTTTTCATTATCATCTTCTTAAGGGAAACAATTCAGAAGAAATGAATTTGTCAAAGAAAACTGTTCCTCCCCTGAATGACCGGTTGATCTCAGAAACTAAAAAGATACACAGTGTACTTATCATCATACAAACTTGATTGTTAAATCTCAAAAAGGTATGGCAACTTTGTGTGCATATTTTGGATAAATAGTATATTTATGATAGTTCTAGATTGATTACTTGATTGGTGTTTAACACCACTTTCAGCATTGCTGTACTATTTGGTGGCGGTCAGTTTTCATTGGCGGAGGAAGCCATAGTGCCTGGAGAAAATCACAGACCTTCGGTAGGAAAACTGACAATCCTAATCAAATAAGATTGGAGTCTGGTGCACCCACACGTGTGGGGTTCGAACTCACAACCTCAGTGTTGACTGAACTACTTAGACCCTTGTCCAATGAGGCCCCTAGATTGAACTAGAGTAGCAATTCAATAAACATTCAAGTGAAAGCTGAATGTACTTACGTCACGAGAAGAATGTACTGCATTATTAGTCATCTCCGTTATTTTAGTATGCCTGGCTTCATCATAAACCATAAACCCCAACCCTTTTGATGGTCCTGTTGGTTCATTAGGATAGATAATCCAAATTCCTGTGTGCTGTCGAAATAATGTTGATGGTTATATTTTGTTAAAGCAAAGACTGGAAGTGTACAAAACCTCTGTTATAAGAAATCCTCAATGTTGAAAGTCAACAAGATAATAAAAGAACGAGACATTATTTAGACAATGATTGGAAAACATTATTAACATGTAGACAGAAGAAAAATACCATGATTTTCATATGAGTGAGACAACTCATAAACAACATGAAAACTGTACAATCAGAGAAGAAAGATCAATCTCAACATTAAATATGTATAAAGACTTTTAAGCTTTAAAGCTATAAACAACTTAAACAGAGGAAACCTATCATATATAAATGAAGTTGTATTTTGATAACTCAAAAATTATTTCAATTTCGAAAATATGACTTGATGAAAAAAAATGGATATTTATTTTTCATGAAGATAAATTTGTTCTGTTATTGTTGTTTACTTTTCACATCTACATTTTAATAACTGTGTTCATCTCATTTCAAGGTAATAATATTTTGATGAACTTAAAGTTATATTCGGTTGTTTGTTATTGTACGTTAAACTTACCTCTGATCCAGCAGCAACATTGTTACGGAGTAAAGTTTTTGGATTTGTTATCCAAAATGATGATGGCTTTCTGATAATATAAAGCAAATGAAGGCATATTTTATTGATACATAAATAAATAAACTTCATTATAGTTTAGTTAGGATAGATTATGTCTTATTGGGATAAATTTCATTATTCAGTCTATTCGGAATTTGAAGTATAAGTTGTACTTGCCATATTTACATTTTTACTGTTGACTCATTATTTATAAAACTTGCTTAATAGCCAAAATTACTGATAATATAATTTTTACTGTGAATTCAGAAATTATTGTGTGCATTTATTATTGCGATTTTTGAAACATGGAAAAAATGCAAGATAAATTATTGCGATTTCATGAAAAGCTGCATACAGATATATGTATCAAATATCAGAATGCGAGTTTTTTGTTATTGCTATACTCCTTCAGACACAATATTGGCATCAATAAAAACCTCAAAATAATACTTAATTTACATTATACAGGCTCCTGGCACAAAAACTGCTCCAACAAAATAATGAAGAAATACAACTGAAGTAGATACGTTTTACAGTCACCATCACAAATTGATTGACTGATACAATATGTCTGTGTCTCAACTCACTAGCAGCATATTTTTGCAGTGTTAGATATTTAGATACAAGAATAATCGTGTGATATATGTTAATTTTTTCCAATTGATAAATTTTAACTGAGTTTTCGTGTCATAGAGCTAGTTTTCAGGGTATAGTAAGTGCAAAATGTTTTAATAAAGTTTATAAAGGAGAGTTAAGTATGTGACTGGAAAAAAAAATAGACGAAAAAATTTTTAAATAAAGTTTGAGGAGATAGTTGTTGTCAAATACCTCCTGAAAATAAAACTACAAGTGGGGATCACCTAACCTGTATTCTTAGGTCTAAATTCACAGTATCGTTTGGTATAAATTTAAAGAATCATGAGTTACATCCTCTCTATCTCAGTTATTTAATTTTATATAAATGTTATGTCATTTCTAGAAAAACTTACGCATCAGTATGTATGAGTTTGCCTTTACGTGTGAGAGCCACCAGATTACCATCTATAACTGTTCTCTTTTCTCCTCCATCTTCCAGGAAAATGCCATGTCCTAAATGGTCGATGCAAACATTATCCTCTAGCTACAGAAAATAAAATATAAAACATATTAAGACAAGTAAGGCACAGGAAAGGGTTAAATATGAAAGCAAATAAAGAATCAACAAAAACATTTAAAATACTGGTACTACAGAATAATATGGAATACATATCAACATGTGAATATCAACAAAAGAAAAGAATACTTACTTCTTGGGAATACCTATTTTTAAAACAGTAAACAAATGAATGGTTGAATCATTCTGCTGTGAATCATGCTATTCTTTGTTTTTGACAATAGAACAGGAGAAAAGGACTTCTCTAAATATGTCATATAATCCCACAAGAAAATGTTGTTCATGAATTTATAAATAGTTATTTTTGGCATTGCTTATTCATTTGTTTATGTGCAGTTTTTCATGAACTGTTGTTTGCTTGTTTTTTTTTCTTTTTTTTTTTGGCAACATTGTTGTCGTTGTATTATCAATTTTTGATTACTGTTTTCATCCTACCAGTGTTGTTTTCATACATGGCAGAGTATTTCCTCAGTCTTCTATTTCTGCATCCTTTTACCATTGGTTTTAAATTGAATAATCCTCTGGAAAGGTTATTCATAAATCTAACATTGATTAAATGTTCCCATGAGGCTTTTCATTATTTAACTTTAATCCATCTAATACTTCATCTCTTTAATTTCAGAATAAACCATATAAAATAAACTGTACTATAATTACCGTATTTCTAGTGACTTACCGTAACACCATGTGATCCATGTATAGTAATACATCTAGCAAAGGAATGATGGATGGAATTCTTCCTCAGATATGGCGGATTAGAATAATTCTCATCATCCGTGTCATGGCACATGTGAAAATGAAGAGGGTAGTTTCCTTTAAACAAAACAAAAATTGGTAGTACATCACTTGAATATTTGGTGTGGTTTTTTTTTTTTGTGTATTTGAGTGTTTCTGATAAGTTTTTACAAAAATCAACACAGAAAAAAAAATACCTCTTCTAAAAGAGAATAATTTTGGCAGTAAGAATACTTAATAGGGCAAAGCTTAGTCCAGCGTGAACTATACTTTTTAACATATTCAGAGAACATAACATTAAGTGTACATAACCCTTGCTTCAAAATATATATACAAAAGCCTAAAAACTAGATTGAGTAAGAAAGCAAGTGTGAATTTATGAAGAAATGTTAGATTTCCCAGTTTTTCTAATCAGTGATTAACTTTAACAGGAAAATTTTCTTAAATTCTTTGATAATAAAATCTTTTGGGAATGCAGTGTTGGATTCAGGAGAGACATAGAGGATCAAGCCCCCTTTTGATCAAATATATTATTTGTTTGCACAAAATTGTTAAAAATACAAACATTTTATATAAAGCATTTTCTGCAATAACACCCCCTTTCAAAAATCATGGATCCACACCTTGAATGTATAATCACATCTCTATTCTACAGAGTTATGGTTAGTTATTTCCTTATTTCCACTATGTTAAACACTGCCACATACATTATACAAAAGTCAATTGTTCAAACCTTTTGCCTTCTTTGGTCATATGCAAATTGATTGTAATTACTTTTTTTCCTGAAATATGCCACCCGTTTTTTTCTTCTACCATACAGGTTTCACAAAATGTCAAATAACTATTAGATGTACCTATGTTCTTTTAACATTGTAAATAAATGGGGAATGTGTCCATGGGACACAGATGATGCCCCTGCTTGCATAAAATGTTATAAAGGAACATAAATCAAGAACAGTAAAAGTGACACTACCCGAATTTGTTCCTAATTTGAGTTTTGTGGTAATAAGCATTTTGTATTAGTTTCATAACATTTGGTTGAGGCAAACTTATTTAACAGAACGGAAACGAAAATTCAGCAACTTTTCAATTTGTAAATGGGCATAACTCTAGAACAGTGATGCCACCAAAATTCAAACTTGATCTGTGTTATGTGGTAATAAGCAGTGTGTTTAGATTCCAGTACATTTGGTTAAGGCAAACTAAAATTAGAAAACGGAAATGAAAAATTCAGCAACTTTTTAATTTGTAAAGGGGCATAACTCTAGAACAGTAAAAATGACACCACCAAAATTCAAACTTTATCTGTGTTATATGGCAATAAGCATTGTGTATAAGTTTCATAACATTTGGTTGAGGCAAACTAAAGTAAGAGAACGGAAACTAAAAATTAAGCAATTTTTCCATTTATAAAGGGGCATAACTCTAGAACGGTTAAAGTGACACCACCAAAATTCAAACTTTATCTGTGTTATATGGCAATAAGCATTGTGTATAAGTTTTATAACATTTGGTTGAGGCAAACAAAAGTTAGAGAACGGAAACCAACTTTGGGATGTACGTACAGACGGTCAAGTACGTACATACACACGTACAGACGGACAAGGGTAAAACTTAATGCCCCCTCCGCTACATCGGGGGCATAAAAAGTTTTATATACGTATATGCAGGGTAAATATAATTAATACAGATGATATATTTTATAGGTAGGGAACGCTATCACAATGTTTCATCTTACATCTTCTGAAAACTGATCAACTTTTCAAAATAAATGGCTTTGTCAGCAGATCACAAATATACAGCCTATAATTTATAATACCAGGACAAGACTAGAAAAACTCATCATGCTTTTAGAATTAAAATATAAGAACTGGATAGAATAATTAGAATGAGACTACTGCAGGCATCAATTGCATTTAAATGTACTTATTTCTTTACAAACATGATAATTTGAATAGTCTTAGAATAATTTGGTATGCTTTTTTGGGTTGTTTTTTTTGTCAACCTTTAATTCCTGTTTTTATCTGCTTTTAATTGTATTCAGTTTTCTTGATGTTTTTTGTTATTATAAATTCAGTTGTATAGCCTGCCTTTTGCCAATTAACGTATTTAGTTCACGAAAGGCGTAGCTTTGAGTGGATTAAATATGTTAATGAGTAATGCGAGGCTATATATGATTTGTAACATTAATGGGTGATGACACATGCCAAATGTTAAACTTAAGGTGGTATGGGAGTATAAATTAGAAATGATAGAATTTGTTCATACTTTGCCAAAATATAGTATATATTGATATATGTTCAAAAATATAATAAAAATGATAGGTCACCGAGAATTTTCTCGAGCTACAGTTTGTGACAAAATGACACATTTTGTATGGATTATACAGAAAAAACATCATTATGTGAGTAGAAGATAAACTAAATGGTAGAATTGTAAAATAAAATATGAAAAGATAGTTTCACTGTACGTTTTTTCCGGCTAAAATACAAAATAGCAAAATTTCATGTTATTCCTTCAGAAAATGCACTATTTCTGAGTTACCTCTCCTTAAAATGCCAATTTAAAAACATTAGAAATCAAGCAAAAATAATCTAAGCTTGTAATAAAATTAATATTTATAAAGTAAAATCTTATAAATTTGATCTTTTAAATGAAAATTCACATTAGTTATCTGCATTCCTGCATAAAATTTTGCTAACTTGAATGAAAATCTGGACCTTAGGTTCTCTGTTATTTATAATCCAAGATGGCAAAAGACACCCATACTACCTTAAATGTACTTTTCATGAATTAAATATGTCAATCAAAAAGTGATGCTTTCTATGCCAAAACATCTCTTATTTTAAGAAAATAAACTCATTGATCAGATTATTAAGTAGGATTTGATTTTATGATGCATGTACTTGTAAACTGTTAAATTGTTGTCATTTGAAACTGTGATTTGTGTGTTATTTAAGTGTTTCCTACAAAAATTCCTAAGGGGATAGATGCAAAATCTTGTTCGATGTATACCATGTTGCCTGCCTTCAAAACCAATAGGACGTGTAGTTTTGTAAGCGTTAAAAGTTGTGATAAGAAGGATACATTTTTTAAACATTTTGCGAAGGTATTCTTCCCAACATCAGGAAAAAGACCTATGAATTTATGGGTTGATGATTGCATAAGGTCCAGAGACAAATATTTTAAGCATGCTCAATTCATAGAGATAAAGGTTTGAAAAATGAAATGAAAGGGCTGAACATCCACTGACATATTTTGGACGAATAATATTGCCTCTTTGTTTATAGACCACGTTATTCCTTTTTGTAGTTCTCATCAGCCATTAATTTGTAGTAAGTTTATGAAACCATACTTAATTTAGAGTCAGGTTTACAAATTTGACAAGTGTTAGTTTCTGAAATAATTATAATCCAATAAAGTATTCCTTATATTAATTGATACTTTCGAAGGGCGAGGAAGAAAATTAGTTTTATAATAAATATGCAAGTGAACACAACATTGAACATTGAAATGAATAACAATCACTTCAAGGATTAGAACTAATTCATATTTAGGTTAATGATACCTACCTAGACTAGTAGCTTGTCCCATGTTTTCTAATTCGACTCCTTCAACATGAACATTCTTGAAATAACGAAGTACCTGTTTACGATAAATTCATAAATAAAATTAGGTGCACAAATGAGGATATACCACGACGTCTACAATATAATTAGCTGCAGCACCCTCCCTCACCTACATCCTTAAATGATTAATTGTAGTCCAAAAGTTGGGCTCTAGCAATAAAAGGTGATGATAATCGTAAAAACATTTTTCTGCCCTGCTCACAGGTAACATAAATACATTATCTTCACTGGGTCAGTGCCACTGTTGGTGGACCCTCCTGATTCCCAAGGATGCAATCAGTCAAGTAGCCAGTGCTTCAGTTACTCTGACATGATTTAAATGGTGCATTTTATTTTTATATGTGATATTCAGTTTTTAAGTTATGTCAGTATTCTTAGAGATCAGAGCAACTACTTACTGTTGGTTTTCAGTGGAATTTGTGTTGTTTATGTTTTATTCTACCTGTTGTTTTTGAAATACATACATTATAAATGTATATTTTGTTTCTGTTGGTTATCATTTTATCTATCGATTGTCATCAAATACAATTTGTATCTACAATTCCCATGTAAAACATAATATTACCTTAACATGTCCACCAAATGTATCATGTTTGTAATTGTTACAGTTACCATTGACAGTGGGGCAAGCAAGTTCCATTTCCCCTCTTATTTTTATGTTTCTAGTCAATATAGCTACATCACCACGCATATCAACATTATTCTCTAGTTTTGACCAGTGTACAAACTCTGGTGCAACTGGAAATATATAGAAAATAGATGAACATGTATGCATATTTTAGTTGTTCTTACTAAAGTATATACTTTGACTTGCTGATGAAAAATTCAAAATAATTTGAATCACACAATTTACATGAATAATTTCATTGGAGATATTGCAGACAGACACTAATTTTGATCATTGAGACACTGAATCTTAAATAGTTAACTCCTGTAGGTGTTCTGTACCCCCTTAAAAGAGTATTGAATGCAGCTTAGAAAAAGGTAGAATTAAAGCCAATATTTTGGCCCTGAAAAAAAAAAAATCCTCAATTCTTTCAAATCAAAACTTTTAGAATATGAACTTTATTTATTTATGAAGGTAAAGGATGCCATATTTTAACTTAATATAAAAATAAAGAGATGTGGTATGATTGCTAATGAGACAACTTTCCATTAAAAATTTCAAATAAATTACCGGTAAGTGTGGCACAGATATAGCATTTGTATTGTCTCAGCAACATCATAGATAGACATACATTGAACATTAACCAGACGTTACCAAAAATTGGCATTATCATACCATCTGCTATGGTACATTTAAGACTGTATGTCATTTACTTACAGCTAGCTCTAATCTGTTTTTGCCCACAGTCAGGACAACTGTCAACCAAGCCTAACTCGGCCTGTTCCATGTCAAAGTCTGTAGAGGTAAATACTATCTGATCACCTACAAAATTTGTATGTACCACTTAGAAATAATATAAGAAGTCTTACACAGTGTATAAAACTTACTATTTTGAGAAAAATAATTTATGGTCATACAACAGAACAGTAACGTTTCGTAGTATTGCAAAAGATCAAGATTTTCACCCCTTCCCTCAACATCAACCATAATTACTATTGTGGCAAACCGTCACTTATGTTTTGAAAATGAAAATGGCAAACAAATTTGATATAGTTATTCAAAATCTATGTACACTAATAAATAAATGGAAAAAGTAAGTTCATATGTATACAAAAGGTATAACAGGAAGTACAAAGATATTAGACAGCACAACTGACAACTCCAACTGCCATCTACCAACAAAAGACTCTCCATCCCCCCAAAAAACAAAAACAACAGACAAACCCCAATAACAGACATTTAAAACTAATACAAACAACAATAATAGTTGTTACCTGGTATTATATATAGGCTGACTTGGAAGTCACAGCATGTGAGTTGAACCAGTTTTACATGTGCACAAACCTCCCCTATAGCCTACCTAGACTATATATACTTATGTTATACTTAAATAAAACCAACATAGTGCAGCAACCAACAGATTGACCACTAACTTGATCAAGGAAATGAAAAAATAATTTGGAAAGCAGTGGCAATATGTATGTAATATTACAGGCCATTAAGTATATAAATCAATCAGACTTTGAAAAGGAAGAACTATTGTCAGTGAATAACTTAGTATATCGCACTTGAAGCCCTGGTTTTGAAAGTTGTAAGAAATTTTCGCATGACGGAGGATGCATGCATACCACCTGGAATCGCCATAATTGCCAACTGACATGATATTCGCGTGTAATACATGCTTTTTCAACGGTTTACACGCGAGGATTTTGTCACATGGCGTGTACACACTTTTCACCACTTTACATGCAATTACATGCTTTTTCGTTGTTTTGATTTTTTGGTCGTTAGTGATATAGCGATTCTTGGGTTTTTTCATTATTAGACAATAAATACCGAAAATTTCAAAGTAATTGTTTGGTCACCATTGTTTATTTTTCTATATGGACGAACAGCAAAAAGCACTTAAGGTAAGTAAGTAGTTTGTGATTAGTTTTTACGATTTTGTGTCTTTCTTTCTTTCAAATTCACGTAAGGGAAATGTCCACAGAAAGAGGTCGCTTTCAGGACCTGTACCGTCGTCTAAAGAGCCGACTGTTAAGTGAAAACGATGTGTATGTCTAAGATTCAAGATTTATAAATTATATTTGGGAGTTCGAGTTTAAATGATCGAGGGACGAGTAACGCGTTGTGCACCCTATGTGCAATCATAACAAAACATGTGAGAGGAGAACTACAATGTAGCTATTTGATTAAGCATTTAACGTGTTTAATGGTAATCAAATAATAAAATATTTTTCTTTTTCAGTTTCAAATCTAGCCAACAGATTTCCACAGTCCATAGGGGATGGAAATATCACGGAACTGTTGGATCAGTTCTCATAGTACCAGCTGTCTTCTGATGAACTACCTAGTTTTGACCAGGCAATAGCAACATATATAGTTTGTTGGGAGCAATGGCACAGATAATAGATGACATTTTAGATGGCAAAAAAACGTTATGACACTCGTTCAAAGCTTGATAAAGCTATTTTAGTTCAGCCAATATAAGTTCTGACTGTGAGAGAGCATTTTCAATTATAAAGAAATTCGCACTGAATTCTGATCAGAACTTGACAATGATATATTGTGTGCCTTGTTATCAAGTAAATGTAACCAAACTGGCAGTTGTTTTGAATTTGTACCTAGTGGTGTTGCTTTAAAAGCAGCAAAACAGACCACTGTTGAATACAATAAAAGTTTATAGTAGAATATTGTTTTTTATATTAACAAATTTGTATAATGTGAAATTATGAACATTGTTCATATTAAAAAGTCTGCATCTATGTCGCGCGTTTTCACATGCTTTTTGACATGTCATGTCATGTCATGACATGATTTCTCATTGTCAGAGGTTGGCAAGTATGGGAATCGCCCCCATTGAAGTTCATGCCATTCCTTAGTTTTGCAGTCTCGTCATGTTATAAATCAAATACATTATGCTAATTATCTTACCTTTATGCCAACCCTGGGCATTATCTACCAAATCTATTATAGGATACGCCCGGTCATAATCACACATAGTAAAGTCAACCTTCGTAAGATGATAGGATCTTGAACCAGTATTTACTTGACTAACAATCTTTATTTTCAGGTTTAAATTTATCAAATCCATAGTGACTGAAGCAATGTGTTGTTCATAAGCTGACTTGTTGATATCTTCAATGGCAGAGGTCATATCGCCTTATAATATAAAAAGATGATAAAATAAAGATGGCTGCTGATATACAAAATAAAAAATACAGCTAATGCACAGAAAGAATGTTCCAATTTGTTCAATCTTTAAAGTTCATGCAAATATTGATTTAACAAGAGTCTGGATGGGGTTATAATAGAATAATGGGCAAAAAGTACAGCATAAAGGACCAAAAAAATACAGGATAGAGGATCATAGACCAAAAGATTAATTGGGTGTTAAAATAAAGAGAAAAGTATCTAAAACATTTATAGAACAGAAATGATGTTAGGGGGAGGGTTTGGCACTGGCAAAAATGTTTAACCCTGCCTCATTCTGTATGTGCCTGTTCCAAGTCAGGAGCCTGTAATTCAGTGGTTGTCTTTTGTTGCTGTATATCATATTTGTTTTTCATTCATTGTTTTGTACATAAATCAGGTCTTTCAAGTTTTCTCTGATACATGTTTTACATTCATCATTTCTGGGCTTTTTATAGCTGACTATGCAGTATGAGTTCTACCTATTTTTGAAGGCTGTACAGTGACCTATAGTGATTAAATTGTATGTCATTTAGTCAAATATTTGTCTCATTGGCAATCATACCACATCTTCTTATTTTATAGCATATATAAATATCTTGGGTAAAGAAAAGCAAATATTTAAAATTGCAATGAAAACTTTGTTAAATTCTACCAAAATGAAATCTTTCTTTTAGAAATCTTAATTAATATATGTACCTTTAGTTGCTATAAAGGCATAAGCATCATCACTATCTATGTCCCTAATCATTTTGGCACCAAGGGATTCCATCTTAGCATATATACTGGTCAGGTCAGATGTGCCAACCAACTGCCTACATAAAGCAATACCAACAATGCTACCATCAGCAATACCTAAATAATATCATATAAAAAAGTAAGCATTCTGACAAGTCTTTTTCTTAAATAAATAGGTAGTTACATATGAAGGAAGCATATCAATATCAGTTATCTGAGATTACGCTGCAGATTATCAATTGGTTGAAAACTTTTGTTTCTGGGCCAACTGAAGCCCGCCTCTGGATACAGGATTTTCTCGCTGTGTTGGAGACCCATTGGTGGCCTTAGACTGTTTTCTGCTCTTTGGTTGGGTTGTTGCCTCTTTGACACATGTACATTCTCCATTTCAATTTGTCGTCTTTAAAGAAACACGTTCAACCATTAAGAGATAAGTAATTTTTTATCATCAGAATTGCATCATGTTCTAGGCTGTGAGATTTAGTTTGGAATCATATGAACAGTGTTGCATGAATTGATGAAGATGATTTCACTATCTACACATTTGATGTCATTCTGTGTTGAAGTCATATCCAAACCACTATTTTCATTAAATTGGGTCTCATAAGCGTGACGCGAGATTGGTTGATTTTTTGTAAGCCAGAAAACGTGAAAAGAAGTCGGCCAAGACATGTGAAATTACAAGCACTATCATTGCAACGATTAGCGGGATACACGATTCTTACAAAACAATAAGCAGGATCCGGGATCAGACCCCCAAATGAGACCCCCGTTAAAATATTTGTCTGTATTACTTGGATTTATGAGATCTTTATAGAGAGAGACATACTATAAATAAATAATGTTTAATTAAGGAATAGTTGCAAAGCATTTGAAAACTTTCTCCGGGAATACTTTGTGAATTAGTATAATACTTGACTCAATACTATGCACAATATCTACTAGTTTCACTATAAAGTATTTGAAAGCTTAATAAAGACCTTTACATAAATATCATCCAATTAATTTATAATTTTGATACTTGTTTAAACTTTTGTATGAGAATTTCTAGTTTAAACATCCACCCAGTAGTAGCCAGTGCCTTGATATTGGCATGACTTAAATGATATTTTTTGTGTGTAGATTTTTAAGCTTATAAGTTATGTATAATTGTACTTCAGCTAACATAGCAACCCCTCAAAACACAGTTACCTTTAAACGGTTTGGAAGTTGTGTTATGTCCCTTTTTAGTGTTATTTTCTCACAGGTTTTATATTTTTAGCTCTTTAATTGTTTTGGGTGTACTTGATGGTTATTTCAAAATCATGTTTCTTGAAAGCTGGTATCATACTTTTATATTGCATAATGATTGAAAGCCAAATGCTTTCCTTGCAACCATATTGGACTTATTTACAGACTCCTTTGAGCCTACAGTATATCACATATATTTTGTTCAATTATTATTTCACACTTACTATCAATAAATGGTCCAAATCGTTTCAGATCTCTGACTGTGTATTCACTGTTTGTTCCTGACAGATAAAAAGCAGACTCTTTAATGACACTTTTTGAGGTGGCATCAAACACATACACCCTTAAGCCCTGTCGCCAGTCATTTCTTGCCGTAGCTGTTCCCTGCAATATGAAAAGATTAAGCTATATTTAAAACTGACTACATATAGCCTAAGCAATGGATTGTACTGTATACGGAATTCATAAATAACTACAGTCACTTTGAGACCTTTAAGCAGCAACTAAATATAAACAACTCATTATCTGTATCTGTCACTGTATCATTTACTTATGCCAATAAATTGTGTGTTGTAAATAGTTATTGTTCTGTGATGTCAGATGAGTGAATTACAGGTTTTCTTTCACATGTGAAATGTATTATCGGTTATCATTTGACTGCGAAATCACAGAATTTCACTGCAACCAACGTAATATTAAATGAAATTCAATGCTCACAACGAAATTATGTAATGAAACAATTGTTGAAAGTTATGCTCTAAAGGCATTAAGAACTGATGGATACTTGATACAATATCAAAAAAATTCTTTAAAAAATCATTAAAATCAATATGTGATTCCGATGAACTTTTAACGTTTCCATTACAATGACTAAAAAATTGTAAAAATGAAAAAAAGAACTTGTTCTATAGATCAAGACAGTGTATTTAAATTTCTCCCATATAATTTACTATGGAACAACAAATATACAAATCATAAAAATAAACTAGAGGCTCTCCAGAGCCTGTGTCGCTCACTTGTATTTACTGATGCTTTGGAAATCATGTAAAATAAGGTTAAAATCATAATTAATAATATTAGATATTAGATATAATGATATCTAAGATAATAACAAAAAACTGCAAAATTTCTGTAAAATTACTAACTCAGGGGCAGCAACCCAACACCGGGTTGTCGGATTCGTCTGAAAATTTTAGGGCAGATAAATCTAAATCTGATGAACATTTTTGCCACCTGTCAGATTTGCTCTAAATGCTTTAGTTTCAGAGATATAAACCAAACACTGCATTTTACCCCTATGTTCTATTTTTAACCATGTCGGCCATGATGGTTGGAAGGCGGGGTCATCGGACAAATTTTTAAAACTAGATACCCTAATAATGATTATGGCCAAGTATGGTTAAATTTGTCTCAGTAGTTTCAGAGAAGAAGATTTTTGTAAAAGATTACAAAAATTTATGAAAAATTGTTAAAAATTGACTATAAAGGGCAATAACTCCTAAAGGGGTCGACTGACAATTTTGGTCATGACAACTTATTTGTAGATCTTACTTTGCTGAACATTATTGCTGTTTACAGTTTATCTCTATCTATAATAATATTCAAGATAATAACCAAAAACTGTAAAATTTCCTTAAAATTACCAATTCAGGGGCAGCAACCCAATAACAAGTTGTCCCATTCATCTGAAAATTTTAGAGCAGAGAGATCTTGACCTGATAAACAATATAACCCAATATCAGATTTGCTCTAAATGCTTTGGTTTCAGAGATATAAGCCAAAATCTACATTTTACCCCTTTGTTCTATTTTTAGCCATGGTGGCCATCTTGGTTGGTTGGCTGGCAGGGTCACTGGACACATTTTTTAAACTAGATACCCAATGATGATTGTGGCCAAGTTTGGTTAAATTTGGCCCAGTAGAATCAGAGGAGAAGATTTTTGTAAAAGTTAACGGACGATGGACCATGGACGCCAAGTGATGAGAAAAGCTCACTTGGCACTTTGGGCCAGGTGAGCTAAAAAAGTAGCTTAATTTTTCATTTATTCAAAACGACAAATATGCAATTCTTTGAGCTTGTATTTGCCCATATACAATAGAGGGATTGGTCTTTAAGAATCCAATAAAGCAATCTTCTGTTATCATCATATGTTTTGTATTCAGAAGGGCAAACATAAACCATAAATTATTTATACGTCCAGTGTTGACGAGCGCATAACAAAACTATGTCAAAGCGCCATAAAATCACTTTAATTTGCCATAATGTTTATACACTGACCTGGTGCTGGTAATACATCCCATCTCCAACGTTCAGAGGATTGATTGTCTTATCAAGTTTTGTCCACGACAGTTTCTCTTCACCGTGTAGTTCTAGAGTACCACCTGCTGCTACACAAATAAACTTCTGACCACATCCTGCTACATCAGCAACTTCATTTCTTGTACCTATTGGGATAAGTAATAATGATTCTTTTGACATACTAAATATTTTCAAGTACACCTGGTGGATAAAGTCCATGCATTATGGAGGTCAAGGATTGCTTGTCGGCATAAGGTAAGATTTGTATCTATTTTTTATTCAAACATCATAACATCCATAAAAAGTGAAGAGAAATTTAATTTTAGAGGCAGAATGTAAACTGCTTATTATAGCAAGAACAAAATCAAATTTTCACCTTTTATTTTTTTTAGGAAATAGAAGTTTTTGAAATTTATCCTTTTTTTTAACATAGAATGAATTATTTTGTCAGACAGAAACAAATTTTAAGGAACAAAGGAGTCCATCAGAAAGTGAGAAAAGAAGAACAGATCATCCTTTGCTAAAATTTACCATCAAATCCACAATTGACATGCCTTGGGCCACCAATTTGAATTGATAGTTTTTTCAAAGCCCCGTTTCAACTAATAAATAGACCATTTTTTCCCAGAATACAATCCAATTACATTATAAATTGATATGATTTGGTCTTTGTTCATTTGTAGTTGCCATTACTGCAAGAACATTCAACTATTATAATACATTATTACAAGTGTTGTTGTTATAGAACCTTCTACATATTATAATACATATTAGTGAATACAATTGTAAAAGATCTGTTACCCATATCCCAAAATTTACACGCCTTGATAACTGAATAAAAATTATGAATATGGTGGACATGGCTTTTAAGTAAAAATCTAGTTAACCCTTTTGGTTGTACATGTATCAGGTTTTGATACAAGAATCCTAAAATTAATCTGGTTATCTCAATGAAGTAAGTTTTCTTTCCTTTTTCACTTTTTACCTTTCAGGATAATTTCTGTCTTTGCTTTGAATTTACAGTCTTCTGATCCAATCTCTACTGTTCCTTTGACATAGATATATCTTGTCTTTACAATAGTTTCTTTACCAGAATCCCACACGAGCCGACCATTGGTTTCTATTGTGATACTGTTCACATCGACATCAATATCTAGTTTAACATTCATACTGCCTTTGATCTTAACATCAGAGGTTGTTGTAGGAACCTAAAACATTAAAATAAAAATGAAATTGTGTTGAGTTCAGGGGTAGGGGACCCAGCTCTCTAATGGAGCTAAACATGGTAAATCCGTATACTTTTTATAAATTCAAGTCCTAACATTGACATTGCCTCCCCCCAGATGGAAACTTTCCTCTGTGCTGATGGTGAATACTTTGGTCCCATCTTTCCCTTTCTATATCCTTCTGACTGTAACGGAGATGTTGTCCCCCAAACCTTTTTTCGCCGCTGCCTCATAAGCCCGCACATATCACATATTTTTTTAATTATGTGATTCAGCGGTTGGCCAAGGTCAACATCTACCCGTTGCCTTTCTTTTGCTAAAGGCAGTTCACTGCTATCACTGCTGTATATAATGCATTCAACAATCTGTTTTGAATTTTCCTCCATTTCAACTTATTGATACTGTTATTTAAGTACTTAGGGAGCTACCATTTGATTTTTATGGGGGGCTAGGATGAAAAGTTTTGTCCTGCTTTTTTTTTGTTGTAATCTCTGTCCTGCCTTAATACATATGTAATACATAATTTAAAGCAATATCCGGGCTGACTTTGAATTTGTCCCGGTTTACTTTTTAATCAAAGCACAAGAGATTAAGAGTACAGACACGAAACACGGAAAATAAAATAAGGAGTAAAAAGGAAGCATGCACATGGAACTAAACACGAGAAAACGAGAAATAAAACGTCAAAACACAAAAACACATGAAATAAAAAGGCTGAAAATGTTTCACGAAAATAACCTATTCATTTAATTGTTAATTTCCTATTATTTACTTATTTTTTCATCTATTGGCTTTTATATCTATTCATTTGTTAATTTCACTTATTTTGCTGATATGGATACAAGAAAGCTGCAGCGATATAAATGAAAACAGATGTAATGATATAAACTTATATGCAGTGCAAGCATCTGAGCACATATGAGTGGCCGTTCATGTCAAATAGCGATGTTTTCATGTTGAAAGCATCTAGTTAAAATTACTTTTATTTAGTTTCTAGTTGATTGGCACAAGTATCTAGATACACCGCACAAGTATCTAGATATGTGTAGTTCAAACAAGCATCTATCTAGACTCTAGTTACTATGTCAATAAACTCATCATAGATACCAGGACTAAAATTTTACACTTAGAGTGGGGTGCTCATTTTCGCCATAATTTTCCATGTTTTCTGCAGTTTATGTTCAGACCTTTAAGTTTTTGAAGTATACTGATATTTCTATATGAAGATAACATCAAAAGCAAATTATTCTTAGCTTGAAAACGTGTTTCTCTGAAAAAAATCATCTGAAAAGTTAGATTAAAGGCTATTTGAAATTTCCTTATGATTTGTCATAGGGGGACACATATTCACCGTTTTTACACATCTATTTAAAACCAAATAACTGCAGCTTTAAACAATATTTATCAAATCAATTTCATTATAGATGAATAGCAGACTTTTCAAAGGTGTAAAGAACTGAAATTTAGGGCAATCAGTCAAAGAATTACTAAGAAATACTTCTTTGAAATCTTTTTTTTCATTCAGGAAATTGGCCGAAAATCGTTGTCCGTTTTTCGGTCCTTTGCGGTAAGTGCCGAAATTTTTTCTAAGTTTAAAAAATAATCATATTTGTTATAAAAATATGATTAACCGGCATATTTCTTCCATTTCAGCAATTCTTTGAAGTTTCTACACCTCAAAATCATAAAACGGCGAAATTGTGTCCCCGGCGAATATGTGCGCCCCACTCTACGCCAGACGCGCGTTTCGTCCACAAAAGACTCATCAGTGACGCTCGAATCAAACTATCTATAGATGGAGATAGTTGAACTGAAAACAAGTTACTTTTCAAGTATTCGTCATCCTTTTGTTTTCGTTTTCGTCATCATTTTCTTTTTCCCTTCTTTCTCTAATTCTATGCAAGCTACTTCTCGTCAATTGTTGATATCTTAGAAAGTTCATAATCAGCTGTGAAGGGGATCAAGCTAACGGGGAGAGAAACTTCGCTTTTCCTTCTCATAAGTCCCACGAAATATAATCAGACCGTAAGTTTTCTCGTTTTATATATTTTTAACAGTAATAAATTTTAATTGCCTAGAGGAAAACATTTATGTATTATATTCTTCTTTTACACAGTTTTCAACTGATCATTTTATTGGGGTCAAGTGTTTTGACAAGTTGACAAATATATACAATATATCCCAGGTTGAGGTCCCAGGTGCCGGTTTGTGAACACTCTTTTGGTCATTTACGCAGTTGATGTAATAGTGTAAACATGGCCAGAATTGTTGATCAGCACGGCAGAATGAATTTGTCCAAGAAGTTCTGAAACTAGCAGATAACAATATACATCAAAGCACAACCATTTGTACACCAAGGATAAGCTTATCATACGGGCCAGGATGTGTGCGCTGTCTTGCCAACAGACCGAAGCCGAATATCTACCATGAATATGAACCGAAATTATCAGAACTTGCTGTGGAGGGGTAATGTCACTTATTCCGCAGTATCAGGAACATATACTGTTCCCAGGCAGTATGAGCTTGCGCCAGATCCTCGACTGAAATATCTTAGGCGTTATTGTTGAATCTGGAGATTTTGGGTACTGCGACAGCTGTAGGAATTTTAAAACTTGGATATTTGTCTAGAAATCAAGTTGAAGCTGTTAAAGACACATGTGTATTCACAAAAAGGGTTCCTGAGAATGTAAAAAGCAAAAAAATGTGCAATTCCTGATGCCATAATTCACTCACATGCTCAAACAAATGTTAAGAACTACATGTATTTTTGTATTTTGTGAATAAGGTTTATTGTGTGGTCATTAAATAAAAATTCTAAATTGTGTATCAGTGCTTTTTTAACCAAATCCATGCTATAAATTGATTACGAACAATGTTGTTGACGTTTTCTGATTTTATGTAGGCTGTGACCAAAATTCGGCTTTAAATAAGAAAAATACCGGAAAGATCAAGTGTCATTTTGTGTAAAAAATCTTTAAAGTACGAATTTAAATTACAGATGGCTTATCGTTTTTTATTCGGTTTTGTTAATCAGCTGTCCGAAAACTAACGAGAAAAATCTTATATTTTCGTGCAGACGGGTAACATTCTAATGTTCTTCTTCGAGTATTCCTCCTATTTTCGGGTACATACAAGTATATAAAATATAACAATGCTATACCATTTGGAAGAGGAAAGTTAGGGCTTGGGGATGACATGTGTGTAAGACATAAATAACGCAATTTCAGGATCGAGTAGACCTTGAAAGAAGCCATTATTGATTGTAGACACCAAGGAAAAATATCGCTCCCTTACGGCACAGCAGCTCAGAATCCATGTATAGCGAGAGTATTATGTTATCAAATTTATGATAGTGCATATATATCCTTTTGTAAAACAAGTTTGGAAAACTCTTTGAAAGCAAAGAAATCCAATGTAAAATACCAAATCCCATGAAAACTTCGACATCGTTACCAAAAACTTTATCCAAAGTACACTGTCACAACAACGTTTAAAAAAACTGTTCTATAAAGAAATTATCAATATCGAGTAAAACTGTGCAAAACATTTCATCTAGTCAGAAAATGTAACATGCCTCCTAATCTATATAACATTTGAACGGCATTTATTCGGACAGCAATCTTATTTTTAGCATTAAAAAAAATAAGTATATGAATTCAAAAGGTCTCCTGTCACAAAAATTTCAACCAACGTTTTACGTTAGTAATTCCGGGGTGGGTTACAGAAAACAATGAAAAATAATATGTTATCCATTTAAATTAAGACCGACGAAATGAAGCCAGTATGATAAATTCCAAATAAAAAAGAAAATATTCTATGCATTCAATTATATTTTTATCGATTACTATCGAATATCAATACGTTGAAAGGGTGTCTACCAAAATGTCACAATGTTAGCGTCTTCATTTTTCTTTGAATTATTAGGGATAAGTTGTTACAAATCTTCAAAAAAGAGTGAAAACAACATCAGTTGTTTGAAAAAAAAGAATTATAATATAAAATTCCTTTGCAAAAGGAACATTTCGATATATTTAAAATCAAAATAAAGCGGTCACATGGTGGTCTACCAAAATGTCACAGCATCTTTAATTTGACGTTTTTGACGTTAACTATATATATATAGGCAACGTATGTTTGCATTATAGTGTTTTTGTAACGAACCTATTTTAATAAAAGAATACCTAACATATGAATTTAGAATATATTTTTTATTTCAAATCGTTGAAATGCGTTCCTCTCTTCAATATAACATATTTTTTTAATAAAGCGTGATTTGGGTACATTTCAATGAGACAGCAATTCAACAATAAAAGCAAGATGAGGGTACTTGTATATTATTCCTAGCAATATTATCTATTAGTTTAATAAAAGATTTTTTCATTATTTTACTCATCCATTTACTATTCAAGGAAGCGATTAAGCATTGAATCTTTTGTGTTGATCTCATTCACGTTTTGCAAAAGCTTGCAATTTCAAGTAAAACTAAGTTATATTTTGTTATACATAGTTTGCACTATATAACCTTCCCTGATTTGAAACATACTTCTTTGCTTATTCCGACCTCCCTTATTTAAAACATACTTATTCCGCACTGTGTACAATGTATTTGTTTTCGATAGTCTTTTTGGAAATACACGAGTTGTTTAACATGGAAAAGTACTAGTGTTTCTCATTACATGCAAAATTACGTAAAGCTTAAATAAATTTATAAATAAGTCAGGAGCCTCTAGCCTTTGTTAGTCTTGTATGTTTTTTTTTTTTAATTTCAGTTTATTTATATGTTTCGGAGTTTAGTGTGACGTCCATTTTCACTTAACTAGTACACATTTTTATTAAGGGGCCAGCAGAAGCCTGCCTCCGGGTGCGGGATTTTCTCGCTGTGTTGAAGACCCTTTGGTGGCCTTGGGCTGTTTTCTGCTCTTTGGTCGGGTTGTTGTCTCTTTGCCACATTCCCCATTTCCATTCTCAATTCTATGG